TTCATGGAATGGGTTTCGATGGCCGAGCAGCTGCATCCAAGCCTTACATCACCAAGCGCAATGCAAAGTGTTGAATGCAGTGGTGTAAAGCACGCCGCCACCGGACTCTAGAGCAGACGTGTTCTCTGGAATGACGAATCACGCTTCTCCATCTGGCAATCCGATGGACGAGTCTGGGTTTGGCGGTTGCCAGGAGAACGGTACTTGTCTGACTGCTTTGTGCCAAGTGTAAAGTTTGGTGGAGGGGGGATTATGGTGTGGGGTTGTTTTTCAGGAGTTGGGCTCGGCCCCTTAGTTTGGGATGAATTAGAGCGGAGACTGCGAGCCAGGCCTTCTTGTCTAACATCAGTGTCTGACCTCACAAATGCGCTTCAGGAAGAATGGTCAAAAATTCCCATAAACACACTCCTAAACCTTGTGGAAAGCTTTTGGCAATATAGTGAGTACATGAAAAATTTACAGGAAAAAAGTACGGTTTTAGGCCTCACTAGTGAGAACTGTAAAAAAATCTCTTATTATTCTCTGACCAAGGAAATGCATCTTTGCTAGCCCTCCTTGATCTTAGTGCGGAATTTGATACAATAGACCACTCTATCTTACTAGATAGACTAGAAAACCTTGTAGGAGTAACAGGAATAGCTCTTACCTGACTGATCACTATCACGTTGTAAACGTAAACAGCGAATCATCTGTTCTTGCAAAAGTAAAGTATCATATTCTACAAGGCTCTGTTTTAGGAAGTCTGTTATTCACATTATATATGCTACCACTGGGTACTATTATTAGTAATCACAGCATCTATTTCCACTACTACGCTGATGACACACAATTATATAAATCAACCAAACCAGATGACAAATTTTAACTTAAGATTGAGGAGGTGTAAAAGACATAAAAGACTGGATGTCAAGTAACTTTCTCCTACTGAATTCAGATAAAACAGAGGTTCTTCTTCTTGGTCCAAAAGCTGCTAGAAACAAACTGTCTAATTTAAAGCCTAACAGTCTTCTCAATTGCATGAGGTACATCTGTAAAAAACCTGTCCTTCGATGCACATATAACAAATATTACTAAAACAGCTTTCCTGCATCTCTGCAATATTGCCAAATTAAGAAATGCACTGTCTCTACAGGATGCAGAAAAGTGAGTTTATGCATTAATTACCTCAAGGCTTGACTAGTGTTATGCCCTGCTGTCTGAATGTTCCAGCAAAAGCCTTAGCAAGCTTCACTGAGTACAGAACGCTGCAGCCAGAGTCCTCATAAGAACCAGAAAGTTTGACCATATCAGCCAGGTTTTATCAAACCTAAACTGGTTACCAGTTAAATTTCGCATTGATTACAAAATTCTTTTATCTGTTGAAAAAAAGGTGCACATCTGGGGGTTCACAGACATAGAGTTTTATGGTAAATTGGGAGCATTGGTGCTGTTGTCCCGCTGCTCTCACCCGTTCACTCAAGTTTGCTGACGTTGGAGCAGAGGGGCGCTGACATCTCAGGGAGCCCTCATGTCTCTGTTACCTTTCTGGCTCTCTCTTTAAGTTAGGCTGTAATAGCTAGACCTGCCGGAGTCTCTGCTGCACTGTTAACACTGTAAACTGTGATCAGTCACTCTAAAGTTTTCTTTGACAAGTTGTGCAACTGCCCATCCTGTGTGGTCTGATACTGTTGCTTCTTCTGCCTTGATCGGGTGCCCACTGCTCTCCAGCCTTCTGGACCGGTTTGACCAACATGGAGCTTCCCACTGTACAATGCTGTGCAAACCTCACCTGCATGAACAGACCTTTCTGATGATACTGCTGCTGCTGCTGCTGCTGCTGCACAAACACAAACGATTGACTATATAACCATTGCTTCACTTGTTTTTCCCCATTTCTGTATTTTAATATTTTATACTAACGTTGTTTGCTATCCAGTGTGGACCTGTGGAGGATGAGTTCCCCTTTTGAGTACTGTTTCCTCTCAAGGGTTCTTCCACTTGCTTTTATGGAGTTTTCCTTGCCACTGTCGCCATTGGCTTGCTCATGGGGGCTCGGACACGGATTTTTCTGAAAAGCTGCTTTGTGACAACGCCTTGTGAAGTTTGATTTGACTTGACTTGGTAATAAAGCATGAACTAGCTTTTACACACATAATAATAGAGATCCTAAAACAGAGCTTTGTGGAACAAGATATTTTACTTTTGTTTGAACAGATGATTTGCCGTTTACATTCACAAACTGATAGTGATCAATCAGGTAAGATCTGAATCAGGAACAGATCTATTCTAGTTACTCCTACAAGGTTTTCTAATATGCATTTCTGTGACACAAAGAGCATTAAAGTTATGATGAGCAATGATTTCATTTACAATGACGGCCTTAGATATAAGGGATGTTATGTTAAGCAGTCCTAGTTTTAGGCCAAAGGTGCTGCCACTAAAAATTGGTTGAACTACTTTGATATTAAATATAAGCAGAAAAAACTTTCTGAGGGTTTGTGAAATTTTGTTTGATTCAGGAAACACAGGAGACACAGTCTCAGTTGAGTGGAACCTATGTGGGGTCTTAAGGTAGTTAGCAGATGGTCGGTTTAGTTAGTCTGTGTGCTGTTTGGCCTTGTCCCTGGTTTGTTAGCGACTGACTGACCTACACTGTTCTAAGAGACTATGTGCTATGCTACAACAAATAAAAGCAGCACCCTCCCGCGATGGGTGGTTACTGTCCCAACTCAAAAAAACAGGCTTGCCCTCAAAAGTAGACCAACTGTCCACAAAGCGCACTTTTTTTCTGAACACCACTTGGAGAACTGTAGAATGTGTAGTTTGCCACGTTGAACTGGAATGGGAGAGTATGTCGAGTATACTACAGCATCAGACATAATCTTTGCTGATTTACACACTTATTTAATGTTATTTTTAGTTATTTCAGAGTGCCACAGATGAACATCATTATGAATAATTTACATAACAAACATGAATACCTATCACAGAAAATCTACAGTTAGCTAACAGCTTCAGCTTCCCTCTAATTTCCGGTGCCATGTCACCCAATATAGAGCTAACTGGTACTGGTGCCCCTAAAGGAGAAGCTGTAATGTGCCACCTATAAGCAGGGCACTTTTAACAGGCATCTCAGAGGGTATCTCACTGACTCCCGAGACACCACTCATTTACTCAGCTGTGAGGGCTCTGCTGCTGGATTTGAGGTGTGCACACCCTGGAGGTACTTGACAGCGAGTCTGTGCCATACTTACTAGCCCTAAATTTTTCTAATTTATGGATACACACCTCTAACTATACAATCTTTTCCATCAAGCCAGAAACTACTATAGATTTTTCACAAACTAAGTTAGTAACGCTACTGTAACTAGTGATGGAGAATCAGCTAAAGACTAGCAAGATTAGAGCACAGAAAACAGCAACACTCCTGCCTAGTGATTTCAAAAAACAGGAACTACATCACAAGAATTACCCGCAACGTCCAGAAGAACATTTTGTAGGTTGTGCTTCAGACCTCTTTAAGCAGATGAATCTTATGATTGCGAGCATATTGCAACAGCATTCAAAAAGAACTCAGTCAAAATTTATTGATAGACATGTCTTGCAAGCATGTAGGTCAATTATCTATTATTGTCATCATATCTTTATCAATATATGCTGATTTTTCATTTTAGAGATAAACATTGAGCTGTTGCTCGGATAAATTGTTGTACTTTGAATTGTTAAAAATGTCTGACCACAGTGCATATTTATTAGGTAGCTCTTTAATATTTTGATAGCCTGATGGGTAAATTTTGGTCGTAAAGGGATGCACATATTCAGCAACAATACGATACTAAAATCCAAGAAAAGTAAGAAAACATTCCCCACACCATTTCACCACTGACCTGTTGAGACAAGGCAGGTTGGGTCCATAGATTCAGGCTGTTTATAACAAATTCTGATCCTACCATCTACATGTCATAGCAGAAACTGAAATTCATTAGACCAGGCAATGTTTTTCCAATTTTCAATTTGAGTAAGTTTCAGTAAGCCTGTGCACACTGTAGCATCAGATTCTGATACTTGAATGCCTAGAGTGGAAACATACTACTAAAAATGGACACTGTTATATATAAAAATACAAAAAAAATGTGTTATACTGTTTCAGCATATAAGCAAGTAACAGCTCAATGTGGTTCCAGCAAGTGTGTGATTTAGGCGTGCTGTTTGCACAATGCTATATAAAATAAATGCAAGCTGTAATAAAGGCAAAGCATGGACACACTAAATGTTGAAACAACAGATTTTGATATGGTTGTTGAGGCATCTGTCTAATTGTCTGTTAAAAATATATGCTGACTGTTTTTTTCTGATGCTGAAAAATGAATAAACTGTATTTAATTGCTGTTTTGACTGGCATCTGAATGAATGAAAATAAATTTGTTGTAGTTATTAGAGGCACTTCTTACACTGGCCTCGTCAATATCACTTTGAAACACTATCTCTCCAAAGAGGATAGGTCAGGCTCAAGATATGAGCCACATCTGGATGCTCTTGCAGTATAACAGAATGTCAGGTATGTGTCATTTTATAAAATGTGCCACGTTTTACATGTACAGTACTGTGCAGAAGTCAGCATCCTGCAGATTTCTTTGAAAATCTGAAAGAAAGTCTCCCAAAATAAAAGGAAGCTGTAATAAAGGCAAAGGGTGGACAATAAATACTGAAACAACTGATTTTGATATAGTTGTTGAGGAGTCTGTATAATTGTCCGTTTAATATACGTTGACTGCTTTTTTCCTATGCTGAAAAATGAATAAACTGTACTTAATTGCTGTTTTGACTGGCATCTGAATAAATGAAAATAAATGTGCTCTCAGACTTTGGCAATTCACCACAAACCAGTTGGTCTGGAAGACGTACATTCACGATGGAAGTGGAAGCAGGTTTAGAATGTGAAGCAGGTTTAGGAAGGGAAAACACACCCAAACTGGTGTTCGTGTAGGGAAGCAGTAAGTGAATAAGAGAAGAATACTGACTCAAGGTTGTTTTGGAGGTAGTAGAGCACTCCCAGCTCATTGAGGGTTTTGGCGCAATCAGCTGAGTCTTTCCCAAGAGTCAGCTCTTCCAACTGCAGTGCACGCCGACGCAGCAGTGTGAAACCATACTGTAAAAATACACACATAGACAGTTGCAAAGAATAAAATACAAATACTTAGAATTCTCTTTAACTAAAACAGCCATCACAAACTCATACAAGTAAAATCCTAATAACTGTAGTAATTTTAATTATTTTTACTGTTCAACACTGGAACAACTGACGCAATTAAAAACTTGGCACTCCATTTTTAACTCTCATGTATCTGTACTTTATGTAGTTCTGTGTAATGTGATGTTGTTCTGTGTCGTATCTTGGGGCCGGAAGAACAACATTGTATTCCAATATATACAAGTTATATATCGTTGCTGTCCAAAGAAAACCATGCATCTCCATAATTTCAACACACCAGCTCTCCTTTATTGTGTGTGAAAATTTCACAATGGTTAGACAAATAGAAATGCTTACAATATTATCATGGTAGCAGGACACAGAAGCGCTGTAAGTGATGTAAATGCATTTATGTCACTTTTGTGCCATGCTGTCCTGCATTATTTTAAAATAAAAAATTTTAGTTCGCTTACATAGTCGCCAAGTAATTGAAAGCAGTACACGATTTTCAAGCCATCATTCAATAAATGCCATCTATCTAAACATTTAGCCCATCCACCTTTTTTAAAGATGGACAGATAGACAGATAGATACTTTATTGATTCCGAAGGAAATTTAGCAGCCAGTAGCAGTCACACAACACAGCACAGTTATAATAATAAGGGTGGTACAACATGAAAAGAAGAATGTACAGGCTCAGCAAAATTGTCAACTATAAATAATAATATGTGCAGATAGACAAAATAAACCTATGATTTAGCATAAGAGATTCATCTATCCTCTTCTTTCGTCAGTTGTGCTATTTGTAAAGCCGACCTTAGCTGGCATGAGAGTAGAAGTGCACTCATTAGTGTAGTGTGTGAAGTCCAGAAGTGTGTGGGACGCGACGATAGTTGTGCTAGCGAGCTAGTTACGTAATGCTAATGTTAAAAGCCATCCTGCTTCATGTTATGAGCTGAGCTTTAACATTTTCTATTTCGAAATGCATGCTCTCTGGAATCGTTAATGGAGTTGGAACAGACAGGCAAGTAACTGTTATTCACAGCGACCCTGTTCACGTTCCAGATAAAGTTTATAGTTTTAAACACTGCATCGTTGTCTTAACGTGGAGGCCACCGGCGCATTCAAATTCGGCGAACACGAGAGTGTTTGAAAAGAGTTTTCTGTTCTCTGCGAACGTTTAGCACCACTCGCAGTTTAAGGAGGTAGTCCCAGAGCCGGTTTATGAGGTCTTCAAGTTCTCTGGTAGTTCTCCATGAAAACACAGGGTAGCTGGACGAAGGGTTTCCGTTGAAGCGTTTACACAAATCGTTCAAATTTAACTCTTTATAGAGAACAACTCTGCCACAAACATTCAATTTTACAAATTTTAATATTTTCTAATTAAACAACGTATACAAAGTAATTCAAAGTGTTTTAGTGTGAAATGCACCATTCTATGGAATTTTACCACCAGAATTGTTCATAGTGGTGGTGACAGAAACCAAACATTGAAAGTGTTTAATCCCTCTAAAAGATATATCACAAAAAACTATTATAGGGGTTGATATACTGTTTTAAAAATTAAATCTAACACTTTTTAATACGTTTTTAACAGATAAATAATTCAGATAATACTGTTTTCACCAGTGCAAACACTCAAATATGCTTTTATGTCTATTTTACTAAAAGTGGTCAGTTGAAAAAACATAGATATAGCTTTGAGATTGTCTCTTCAGTGTATTTGACTTTGTTATCAGTTCTGCCATCCTGCTGTCCTTCATCAGTGGTCGGATTTAATAACAGGATCAATGTCAGTTGGATATTTCTGGTTAGTGGACTCCTCTGAATACTCTGAAAGTCTTTTCAGTCTATAGGCTTAATCTTATAATTGAATTAAGGATGCCCCAATTCATTTTATTCCAATGCCCAATTTTATCTGAGTAATTTAATATTGAGTATCAGCTGATACAGAGTCTGCAACTTCTTTTTTTACATAGATGATCCAGCTGCATAATTTAGGTAATACTATGCTGCCAATTAATGCTACAGCAAAAGCTGTTCATTTTTGCCTACTTGATGACCACATTATAGTGTGCTTAATATTGCACAATATTGCATAGTGGTATACACTCTATACTGACAGTTTGTGTTTTATTGGCATACTTATGTAAAATGATAATTTTATAGGGTCACAGAAGCCTGCTATTTTTTCTTGATTTTAAAAGCACGGTTTCTGCTAACTGCAATTTAAAATTAGAAGCAGCATGGCCAGTTAAGCTTGTAAAGCACTAACTGTCTTTAATCTGTGAAGGTAAAATTGTAAGTAATATTCAATTACTGTATTAGTATATGGTTTTAGTGGCAAGCTACGTTTGGCAAGTGGCAGAAAACAGACTAGACAAGAGGCAGTGATTTTAAACAGCGTAAAAATGGCACTGCAGATACTACAAGATAATTTTCTGCTTTAAAATAGTTCAGCACTGCATTTATACTGTATTGTTACCTTCTGAAACCACAACTCACTACTGCAGGTTGTGCAATAATGCCATCTGAGGCACTGGAGTAACTCAGAACATTACATACAGAAATTCAGTAGTCATTTATAGGTTTACTGGTCATTTTGGATTGCAAATAAAATGGCAATATTTGCGACCCCTGGTTCCTATCACCACTGCTGTAAAGACATTAGGAAAGATGAGGAACATTTCTCTACAATGCACCATTTCAGGTCAAAACACTTGGCTTCACATCTAAATGACTAAATTATGCAGATATTTTGCAACATTCACACAATTCCCCTTTAACTTTATCTCATGTTGAATACACTTCAGAATATGGATTATCTTGTGAACATTTTAAAATGCAAAAATGTAAAATTATCCGTTAATGGTATCAGTACTGGCCACAACAAAAGTGTTAATTATTGGTTCTACAACCCAAAAAAGTTGTGATGCTGTACAAAATGTAAATAAAAACAGAATTCAATGATGTGCAAAACATTTAAACTCTATTTTAATTGAAAATAGTATAAAGACAACATATCAAATGTTGAAAGTGAGAAATTGTATTGTTTGTTGAAAAATATTATGCTGATTTTTTTTTCTTGCCAACAACACGTTTCTACTAAGTTGGGAGAGGGGCAACAAAAGACTGGTAAAGTTGTGTAATGCTAAAAAAAACATCATGTGGAACATCTCACTAATTTAATTAGGTTAACTGGCAACAAGTCAGTAACCTGGTTGGGAATAAACAGGGAATCTTTTATGGCACATGATATCATTAAAAGATTCAGAGAATCTGAAGAAATCTCTGCATGCAACAGACAAGACAGAAAACTTTGCCCCTTGGATGGTTGTGATCGGGCCCTCAGATGGCACTGCATTAAAAACAGACATGATTCTGTACTAGAAGTCACTGCATGGGTTCAGGAGCACTTCTGAAAACCATTGTCTTTTAACACAGTTTGTCACAACATCCACAAATGCAAAGCTAAAACTGTACCATGCAAAGAAAAACCATATATGAACAGGAATGTGTTGCTGGCATTAAATTCAAAATGGGCATATATTTTTCAAAAATGAAAAGATTTTCAACATTTGATATGTTGTTGTTGTACTACTTTCAATTAAATGTAGTGTTTAAATGATTGCACATCATTGCATTCTGTTTTTATTTACATTTTGCACAATGTCCCAACTTTTTTGGAAATGAGGTTATAGTTAAAAGGTCCATAAACAGCATATTGATGCATCCCTAATAAACTCGCTCCTCTTTTCTCACCATGTGCCCTTTTTGCCGCGCCATTTTCTGTCTAATCTTGATGGACCTCTTCCGCAACTTCTCAGCTTGTTCATACCTAAGAATTAAAACTTCAGTTAAATCAATCATTAGTATCTCAAAACCTTAAGTTTTAAACTGAGCAAAGTTCTAAGCAGCAGACGTACTTGTTTTGTTTCTGGTAAAGGAGGGAGAGGGAGTCTAGTTCTCGTGCTACACTGCAGTGCTCAGCACCGTAAGCATTCTCACTGATCTCCAGAGCCTGTTTGTACAGCTGCTCAGCGTTACCAAACTTCCTCCAGTGGACGTACACCCCAGCCAGCTGGTGTAAAGACTGAGCCACACTGGGGTGGTCCGGGTCTAGAGCTGTCTCACGGATCTCTAGAGAGCGCTGCAAGGGGGCTACGGCCTGGAGAAATTCACCCGCACACACACACACACACACACACACACACACACACACACACACACACAGAATCAAAGCTGGCTGATGCTGATATTTATTGCATTACTTTCCTAATGCTCAATTTTAAGTCTGAATAATATTTTGAAGCATGCAGAAAACAAAAGGCTGATTATAGTGTAATACATTACATTCTTATCCAAGTAGAACAAAGTAATTAAGTATACAGTCTTATATAAAAGTTTCAGCACCCTTGGTCAAATGACGATCAGTTTTGTTGATTTTCTAAGTGAAAGTAAGTTTAAAATTCTCTACATGGAACACAGTTAAATGTGGCATTTATCTTTAAATTGTACTGCACGTTTTATTAGAGTTTAACATTTAAAAAAGATGCCATAACTTTGGCACAGGCCACATTTTATGTTTTTTTTTCTTCTGCAAATAAACAGTAATTGGACATTAAAATGTGCAGAAGTATGTTCTCTGTAGAAGATGTGTTAACTTATTTTCACTTAGAAAATCCATATTGACCAGGGGCACCCAAACTTTTGAAAAATGACTTTAAATATACCAAGCATAAATTAACTTTCAACTCCTTTTGAAGTCAGATCAAAAGACTATGTAACTATAGTATGTAGTTTCTATCTCAGCGCTGTGGGCATTTTAAATGTCTTGAGTTGAATATTGGGCAATTCAAGTGTATGTGCATCCCTATTGAGCTTAGCTTTCTTTCTTTTTTACCTCCAACCGCCTTTCTGTCTTATCCTATCATTTTATTACAGTTAATTACAATAATTATTATTTTTTTAATGTATACAGTACTATGCAAAATTCAGATATCTCCCTTCATTTATTTAATTTCCAGTCAAAAATGTTATGAAATTACATTATTGAAAAGTGGAAGCGTTTATGAACCACAGCAACTCACTCACCAAGTGGCAGACCACTTAAAGTTACAGAGCTGGGTTGCTGAGTGCTGAGGCACATACTGCATAAAAGTCACACCAATGCTCTGCTGCCTCAATAACTGTAGAGTTCCAGACCTCTTCTGGCATTAACATCAGCACTAAAACTGCGACGGGAGCTTCATGGCACAGGTTTCCATGGCTGAGCACCTGCATGCAAGCCTTACATCACCAAGCACAATGACAAGTGTTGAATAGAGTGGTGTAAAGCACGCTGCCACTGGACTCTGGAGCAGTGGAAACGTATTCTGTGAAGTGGCGACTCGCGCATCAGCCAGTCTGATGGATGAGTCTGGCTTTGGCCTAGGCTCCTTTTTCCAGTGACGGAAAATGTAGTGCTTCGGCATACCAAGACATTTCGGACAACTGTATGCTTCCAACTTTGTGGGAATAGTTTGTGGAAGGCCCTTTTCTGTTCCAGCATGACTGCCCCAGTGCACAAAGCAAGGCCCATAAAGGCATGGTTGGGTGAATTTGTTGTGGAAGAACTTGACTGGCCTGTGAAGAGTCCTGACCTCAACTCCATCAAGCACCTTTGAGATGAACTAGAACGGAGATTGCGAGCCAGGCCCTCTCGTCCAACATCATTTTCTGACTTCACAAATGCTCTTCTGGATGAATGAGCAAAAATTCCCACAGACACACTCTTGCAGAGAGCTTCCCAGAAGAGTGGAAGCTGTTATAGCTGTAAAGGGGGGACCAATTCCATTTTAATGCCTATGGATTTAGAATGGGATGTCATCAAAGCTTCTGTGTGTGTAATGTGTAGGTGTCCCAAAACTTTTGTCCATATAATGTGAGATAATCAATTTTTATGGAGTAAATTTTGTCCCAAAATGTTTGAGAGAAGATCATGATGTTTGAGAGAGGAATGTTATGGTTTGAGAGGACAGCGGTGCTCTGAGCGCGCAGCTAATGAACTTGAATGCAGTTGTCAGCACGAAGCACGCAGGTAAACGCCTTTGGATTTGTTTAACAAAACACTGGTTTCATTCAAAACTTGAAAATCTGCACAACAATGCATTTCCCTTTCAGAACTCGTATGTGCAAAACACTCCGGTTTTCACTCAAAACTGGAAACTTGCTCAATCGTGCTCTTCACCTTCAAAACTCGTATGTGCGCGCAAATAATTTCTGCTCTCAAGTTTCACATCTGCTCGCTGTAAAATGTCTGAACGTTTGTGTCAAAACTCCAGCCAATCACAGCTATCGAGGGGGCGTTCCTGTCAGTGCACCAATCATGGCTTCTTTTCTTAAGCAGCTTTATGCCAATTGGTCAAGGTACATTCGTGGCTGTGGTATTGAGTCGGCTAGTGTGCTTGTAGCCTCGACATTAGCTATATGGTTTATAGCTTTCAAGTATCAAATTAATAGAAATGATTTATCAGTAATACTCTGTCATAAATAATAACGTATTAATCTAACTAACATTGCTAACTTCAAATAAATAGCTTAACATTAATCAATTAAGCTGATGTTAGCAGGGTTCCTTTGAATGTAGCTAACAATGTCTAACAGTATTCTATTGAAAAGTCTTAACTCTCCTAACTTGTCTTCATAGGCTCATCTTTTTAATCCTGTATATTTATCTTGTATAATGGCATCATCAAAAAACAATACTGATGCTGTGCAGTTATATGTGGACAAAAAACCTCTTTGCAGTGAGTACAGGGAGTTATACACACACACACACACACACACACACACACACACACACACACACACACACACACACACACCTTCTAAGCTGCTTCTCCTTCTGGGTCGCGGGGGGGGCTGGAGCTGGAGTCATTGGGTGGAAGGCAGGATACACCCTGGACAGGTAGGGAGTTATATAGTTCACCCTATTTTGTTTACTAGACATAATACTGTACTTCTTTTCTAAGGCCCATACATAATGTTTTTCCTGTTGTTATTTAGCACCCATGAACACTAGGTTGGTTTGAAGCCAAACGTCAGTGTGTTTTGATAACCTAAACTTAGTGTCCAGGATATTAACTGCATTAACACATTGAAATGCTAACAACAGATGATAATCAGCCAATTAAGTCTTTTAACAGTAAGTTTCAGAATCATCCAGTTTTTATGTTAGGGTTTTAGAGTATACTGCTTATTTAAAAGGATTGGTGGAAATCCAGAGATGGTAGCAAAGAGCTGAGAATGAGAAATATCCCTTATATTTATAGTTTGTGTGCTTGATATGTTTAATCAATGATTTACAGTAACCGATGCGTGAACATCATACAGAGGAAAATACATTATGTATGGGCCTTAGAAAACAGTATTATGTCTAGTAAAAAAATAGGATGAACCATATTACTCCCTGTGCTCACTGAAAAGAGTTTTTTTGTCCATATAAAACTGCACGGCACCAGTATTGTTTTTTGATGACGCCATTATACAAGATAAATATACAGGATTAACAAGATGAGCCTATGCAGACAAGCGCTATAGGAGAGTTAAGACTTTTCAATAGAATACTGTTTACCTGAAATTGTTACCTACATTCAAAGAAACCTTGCTAACGTCAGCTTAGTTGATTAATGTTAAGCTATTTATTTGAAGTTATCTAATGTTAAGCCTCAGGTAGGAAACAAATGGCCTTGCTACCAATATTAGTTAGATCAATACGTTATTATTTATGACAGAGTATTACTGATAAATCATTTCTATTAATTTGATACTAGAAAGCTATAAACCATCTAGCTAATGTCAAGGCTACAAGAACACTAGCTGACAGCTAAGCACAGCCACAAACGTACCTTCACCAATTGGCATAAAGCTGCTTAAGAAAAGATGCCATGATTGGTGGATCAGGAACAACTGATTGGCTGGAGTTTTGACACAAACGTTCAGACATTTTACAGCGAGCAGATGTGAAACTTGAGAGCGCGCTGTGGAGTTGAGAGCAGAAATGATTTGCGCGCACGTACGAGTTTTGAAGGTGAAGAGCATGACTGAGCCTTCCAGTTTCCAGTTTTGAGTGAAAACCGGAGTGTTTTGCACGTACAAGTTCTGAAAGAGAAATGCATTGTTGTGCAGATTTTCGAGTTTTAAATGAAACCAGAGTGTTTTTGTTGAGCAAATCCAAAGGCGTTTACCTGCGTGCTTCGTGCTGACAAGTGCATTCAAGTTCATTAGTTGCGCACTCAGAGCACTGCTGTCCTCTCAAACCATAACATTCCTCTCTCAAACATCATGGCACAAAATTAACTCCATAATTTTTACTGCTACACTTGGTAGACCACAAAAACTGTGACTTTCAAATATACAGTGCTTAAAAGGAGAAGAGAAAATCAAGCTCTACTCTTGTTTCAGATCTGAAAAAATCCAGATGTTTCTGTTCTTCCTTCTACTGTGAGAAGACATTTTAACATTATGGGTCTAACAGGATATCAGCTGTCAAGAAGTTATCAAGAACTACTCTCAGTCCAGCAGTGACATTGAGGTGTTTTTAAAACCTCCAGCAGCACTGCTGTGTCTGATCCACTCAAAAAAAAGTAAACGGATAAGAAGAAGATAGGAACAGATAAGAACATTTCCAAATCAAACAAAGAAGCTGCTGACATTCTCAGAACAAAGGACTGACCACCCCAGAGCCCAGACCTCAGTATCATGGAATGTGTTGGGGAAAAATATCTTTGCAGATTTCTTTGAAAAACACAAAACAACTCTCCTGAAAAAAATAGCTACTGTATCATTTCAAAGAGTGCACACACTAATACTGAAAAACTAGTAATAGTGTCATATTTAGTTGTTAGGGCTTCTGCATAATTTGTTAAATCTGTTAAATAAATATTGTATGCTTTTGCCTCTGATCCAAAAAAAAGAATAACTTATACTCACTGGCAGATTTGACTGAAAATTAAATAAATGAAGGTCGATGTAAACTTTTGCAAAGTACTGTATATTTTTAATACTCAACAACTCAGATTTAAGAAAATCTGTGTATATACCTGACTGAGCAGCCCAAGATCCTTCAGAAATCTTCCTAGGGTCTCATATAGGTTGGCGAGTTTGCTCATTTTCTCTTCACTCTCACAGCCCCGCTCAAATTCCTTCAGAGCATCAAAATATTCTGCCGCCATGGACACCTTATCCTTCCCAACAAACTGCCAGTACGCCAGCAGCTCTGAGAAGTGTCCCCTGAGAACACACATCAGCCCATCTGCTTAATGTTCATCAAAGTGTCTTCCTTGGTATGGAAAGCAGACTTTGCCTAAATGAAGATTTGACATTTTTCTTTTCCAAACTACTGTAAAAAGCAAATACTGAAAAACTTTTGGCCCAAATGTGATTTAAACAGCTGAAAGATTTAAGTGTTTTACACTACATTTTATGCGTATTTATGGCTTATTCCGCAATCTAGTTAAACTGCACTACCACTGCACTTCCTCTGAGGCGCAGTTTGTTTTTTGAAATCAGTGCATTCAGAAGAGAATCCTAGGAACCACTGGAAAAATACATGGCTCCAGGTGACATTGGAAAAGTATGGGAGGCAAATCCAGCCAAAAAAGAAATTAAAATTAAGACAATAAAATGTAAATGCAAACCTCTTTTTGCTATTTCTTTTTCCAAACGTCTTCATGAAATGCAGAATACGTGTCAAAACTAAAATCAAAATGCAGTGTTTACAATGTTATTTCTTTTTTCATAGCAATAGGCTGCATATCTGACAAAATGAAAATGAAAATGTAAAATGAAAAAAATCAACAGCAAAGTGACAGTCTGCGATTTAGTTTTCGGTGTGGACGTGCTTCAAGTGTCGGAATAAAAAGGCAAAGGGAAACAAACACAGGCGTCATCTGCTGGTGATTTACTTTTCATTTCCCACTTTGCTTTTTTGTTGTCAAGTTGACCAACATGCAAATATATGTTATTTAACACTAGGCGGGGCTATGGGGTACATTTTAGGACATCCTCAGACCTCAGCGTCAGAACGGCATCATTCCTCGGACTAAATGACTTTGAGTCTTGAGAAAAACCATCGTCATGTCTCTGATCTGGTGTAACTGAACATCAGACCAAATGCCGTCAGACCAAATGGCCTCAGAAAAAAAGTATCTGTACAGTAAAACAGTAACACTAAATTACAAAAATAATACAATACAATAAACATTATACCATTTTTCTGAGTCAGATGTTCACTGACACCAGATCAGAGGTTTTTCTTGAGACTTGAAGTCGTTTAGTCCAAGGATGCCATTCTGACACTGAGATCTGAGGATATCTGAAAATGTACCCCGCAGCCCTGCCTAGTGTTAATTAACATATATTTGCGTGTTGGTCAACTTGAAAACGAAAAAGCAAAGTGGGAAATGAAAAGTAAATCACCAGCAGATGGCAGCTGTGTTTGTTTCCGTTTGCCTTTTTATTGACACTTAAAGCGCATCCACACTGAAAACTAAACTGTCACTGCTGTTGATTTATCCATTTTGCATTTTCATTTTGTCAGATATACAGCCTATTGCTATGAAAAAGAAATAACAATGTAAACACTGCATTTTGATTTTAGTTTTGACACGTATTATGCATTTCATGAAGAAAAGGCAAAGCCAAAGTGAGGCTTGGATTTTCTTTTCTCTATTAGCTTTTCCATTTCAGATATGGCCATGAAATACCAGAATAATGAGTAAAGTGAAATGATAAATAATTGTTTTAATTTATTTTTTGTCACAAATGACTCGTGCTTATGTGAAAAATTAAATTGCAAATGTAGGTATTTCATTTCATTTTCAATTTTGGCAGGATATTTGCGCAGATGTTTGGAAAAAGAAATGGCAAAAAGAGGTTTGCATTTACATTTTCTTGTTTTAATTTTAATTTCTTTTTTGGCCAGATTTGCCTCTCATAGAAAAGCAGGAACAAAGACGAAAAATGAACGAAGGCAGGATGAATAGACAGATCGATGGATGGGTAAATGGAGATTGAGAATGGCACCTTTTGTAAAGATTCTGTGAGACAAACAGGTTGAGCAGACTGAGCTGTAGTTTACTTCTGTTCTCTTGCTGTTGTAGTAACCATGGCAACTCATCTGCAACACGCCATGTCACTCTGTTCTGGCTTTAAACACACACACACACACACACACACACGCGCACACACCACCACACACACACACACACACACACACACACACCACACACACACACACACACACACACACATCAATTTGACAAGTCAAACTAGAAATTACCAGGTGTATTTAAGGGCACATATGATGTAAAAACAATTTTTCCTTTTTTAAAATACAAGCATTTGATGTACTATGTAAACACTGTTGAAGTTATCATTTATGCAGTCCATGCAGTTCCTATTCGAAAATGAAGTGGCAAAAACAGGCCATTAAAAAAAAATACCATGGTTTTGATGTTACAAATATGAACACATTTACACATTCAGCATTAAACTGTACTTTCACTCTATTGTTATCAGGGTGGTACCCTCAGGAGCACCCCCCACCCCCTTTTAGTCACAAAACATATTTGTACCATATTCCACTGTTATTATATGTTTTAAGTCTTTTTAATTGATTAATTAATTAATTGATTAATTCCCTTTTCCCTGGGAAAGTGAATGTAGTGTACCTTTAAAACTCTTTAAAATGACCCAATTGAACACTACAGACCTTGTTTTACTTTTCAGGGTACATTTACATTGTTTGTACTTTGGGACAAAACTGTACCATTTTGCAAGCTGAAGTTATAAGTGGTGTTATTACTGTAGTTATTGGAGTGGAAGTTGTGGAGAAAACTATTAAACATTGTACTGTTCCTGTCTGTCAGGAAGCCAAATATAAGGATCCATCTGAAACGAGTAACTGTTAAAGCTGTTTTGTTCTGTACATCGGACCAATGAGGCTCAATACAGAACAGTCAATCAGAACATGGCTCATCTATATACATCCGTCTTAAAGGCACAGTAATAAGAACACCCTGTCTTATTCTAGAGGACAAAGAAAGGTTAGAAATGGTTGTGTAATAATGAATTACCACTGATCTTGGTAAATAAAATCACACATGTGATAAGTGGACTTCAGAAGAAAAATAGAAGTAAATAAATAGTAAAGAAGCAAGGTAAATAGAAGAAAAATGTCAAATGTGGGCTTTTTAACTTTAGGAAGATGTTTATAGTTTAGAAAAACAATATTAAGATGAGCATTTGTGCAAATGAGGATCTGACCTGAGTTGCTGGCTGAAATAGCAAATGAGTTTCTCTCTGTACAATGCACAATATCTCCCTCCATCAAGAAACTCCTGCATTACAGCTTCACATGCCTGCAGAGAATACAGAGTGAAACAAACACACACACAAACAAAAACCTACCTCATTCCAAATGAAACCATTACCGTAAACTTAAACGTAGTCCTGACCACAGTGTCCCGTTTCTAGCTCCACCTCTCCTGTCTCCTCCCATGCAGCCCTGCCTTATCATTAGTGTTGCAACATACGTGTAATTTTTATCCTCCTTTCCTAGGTGGTTTCTATCCTTGTCTTTGGTATAAGTAACTCTCATGTTTCAGTCTGTCTTTGTCTAGCATCATTATTTCATATTTTGCTTTCATTGTTTGCTTTTAAGTTTGCTTTTAAGTTCAATAAAATCAATCAACTCACATATAGACCTAGTCAAGGCAGGATTGATAATGTTTTTTAAGGTTATTTATGGACTAATATATCCTAGTACAAAGAGGTTTGTACATGACTTATGGGCATTTATAGATATTTACAGATTGTTTTCAATAAATAATAACAAATAACATTTCCTGCAGTACAAACTGGCTCTTGGCACGTGGAAGGGTAACTTTACTGGGGGGAAGGAGCCGTAGCTTGTGTGGGAGGTTGAGAGGTACCAACTAGATATACACCGATCAGGCATAACATTATGACCACCTCCTTGTTTCTATACTCATTGTCCATTTTATCAGCTCCACTTACTATATAGGTGCACTTTGTTGTTGTGCAATTACAGACTGTAGTACATATGTTTCTCTGCATACTTTGTTAGCCCCCTTTTACTCTGTTCTTCAATGGTCAGGACCCCCATGGACCCTCACAGAGCAGGTACTACTTGGGTTGTAGATCATTCTCAGCACTGCAGTAACACTGATGTGGTGGTGGTGTGTTAGTGTGTGTTGCGCTGGTCTGAGTGGATCAGACACAGCAGTGCTGCTGCAGGTTTTAAAAACACCTCAATGTCACTGCTGGACTGAGAGTGGTCCACCAGCCAAAAATATCCAACCAACAGCATCCTGTTGGCAGCGTCCTGTGACCACTGATGAAGGACTAGAGGATGACCAACATAAACTATGCAGCAGCAGATGAGCTATCGTTTCTGACTATACATCTACAAGGTGGACTGACAAGGTAGAAGCGTCTAAAAGAGTGGACAGTGAGTGGACACAGTGTTTAAAAACTCCAGCAGCACTGCTGTGTCTGATCCACTTGTACCAGCACAACACACACTAACAAGCCAATGGTGACAGTAGCAAGGAAAAACTCCCTAAGAGCAAGAAGAGCAAGAGGAAGAAAACTTGAGAGGAACCAGTGTCAGCTCTGGAACCAAACTCCTTGATAGGGGTTGGTCCCTCTCCTCCTTAGGAGTTGCACAGGGTGAGAGGCACCGGGCAGGCATGGGAATACTCATAAGCCCCCCAGCTGGCTGGCTGGTGTGCAGTTGGAGTTAGACAAGGTAGACTCAATGTGAATTAAAATCGCAAGGAGGAAAATTCTGACTGTTGTGTGTGCTTAGTCACCAAACAACAGCTCAGAGTGTTCAGCTTTCTTGGAGCAAAGGGGTGGGGTTCTGGAAAGGGATATGTAGAGATGTGCTGAGCTGTCAACTGATCACCATCTGGTGATAAGTTGGCTCAGACTGCAGGGAAGACTGGTGGTCAAACCTAGTAGATCCAAGCGAATAGTGAGGGTGTGCAAAACCTTCACTGTGGAAGCTGTCAGGCATGGCTGTGGCCAAAAGTTTGTTGGTGCCTGTCAGGACGGCAACCCCAAGAACCCCCTGGTGAACACCAGTTGTGAGAGAGGCCATCAAGCTGAAGAAGGAGGCCTTTAGGGACTGGTTGGCCCAGAGAGGTCCCAACCAACAGGTCCTAATGGGCAAAAAAGGCAGCAGCAGTGTTGGCTGAAGCGAAATCCAGAATATGGGAGGAGTTTGTAGAGGCCATGGATAAAGACTTTCGGTTGGTCTCAGGGAGGTTCTGGACAACTGTCCGGGCCACTGAGAAGCGGTCAGAGTGGCTTTGCTCCAGTTGTACTTGGGGTACAACTTGACTGGGAGTGGAGAAACTCTGACTCCATTTCCTACTGGAGATCACTGAGGTAGTTGGCAAGCTCCTCAGTGGCAGGGCACCGGGGGTGGATGAGATTCACCCAGAAGTGCTTAAGGCTCCGGATGTTGTGGGGCTGTCATGGCCAACACGCCCCTGCAATATCACATATTTTAGGGGACCAGAGAGCTTGGGCTGGGACCGGCATCAGCAATAAAACGGTCATTGTACTTGACTGCAGTGGCAAATAGAAAGCTGAGCCATAAGGCAAAGCTCTCTGTTTACCAGTCGGTCTACATCCCAGCCCTCACCTATGGTCATGAGCTTTGGGTAATGACCGAAAAAATGAGATCGTAGATATAAGCAGCTGAAATTAGCTTTCTTTGCAGGGTGGCGGGCTACACTCTACTTGATAGGGTGAGGAGCTCGGTCATCTGGGAGAATTTCAAAGTAGAGACATTACTGCTCAACATTGAGAGGAGTCAATTGAGGTGGTTCAGACATCTGATTAGGATTCCTCCTGGCTGGCTCCCTTTGGAGGTTTACTAGGCACAGTCTATTGGGATAAGACCCTGGGGTCGTCCTAGGACCTGCTGGAGGATTATATCTCCAAGAAGGCCTGGAAGTGGCTCAGGGTCCCCCAGAATGAGCTGGAGGAAGTTGCGGGGACAGGGTCGTCTAGGTTTCTCTGTCTTCCCTACTGCTTCTGTGACCCTAGCTGGATCAAGTGGTTTAAGATAATGATGATTCTCCGGTTTACCAATTACCAGTGCAAATTTCTGTAAGCCTGTCTATGGGGTTTTCAGTGTTACATCAGTGCCAAGTTTACAGTGGTGGATATTCATTTTTCAACGCTGGGTTCAATATTAGCCTAATGAAAAACAAGATGATTTCAGATATCATTATGGTCAAATAATTGCACTCATTGCATCTATCTCTTTAAGTTATCATTATCAATTATTAAATTTAGCAATATATATAGCTTTATTACCCAGCACAATTTTAAGATTCTTTCTGCTCTGGACAAATGACTCACTAGTCTGTACACTGTCATGTGTACCCAGAAACAAATGACGTGAAGAGCATGCTAGCTCACATTCCAAAGCAGCAGGAGAAGATTTAGACAGCTCTGGATGATTAAAACTGACACTATCCCCTCATATTAAAGGTCTAATACAGAGAGTTACCAACAGAGTCTCGATACTCTAATTCTGTCTATGTGGCTTTGACAGGAAAGGACCATTTTAATGACATTAAAAATGGGTACCCATAAATTGTTGTCTTAGCAAAATGATAACTTTACAAGAAAAGGAATAAACCTACTTTACTTTTAATGTAAGTCAACAGAACCACACTTTTTTCCATGTCATTTTGGGCCATTTCTTTTGGTACATTCTTCATTAAATTTACACACAATGTAAAGGGCAACAGGCACTTTTAAATTATGTCAAAAACTGAAAAATGCCAGAAATAGGAGATATGATGTGTGTGTAAAGATAGACCCGCTGTGGATCGGACTTGAACTTTTTGTCTTGTTTCTCAAACCATTCCCTAACAATGTGTGCAGTGTGGCAAGGGCACATTATTCTTTTAACCAGTTGTACTGGTCAATTAATTGTTTATTTGTCTTCTCTTCTCTCACACACATAGGTGCAGAAAAGCACAAGACCTGCAGATGCTGGAAGCGTATGAGTCCGCAGCCAAAGGTGACAATGAGCAGCCCGCGCAGACTGTGGAGCAGAGAGGAGAGGGCAGGGAAACTCAGCTCTGAAAACATCTCCAACACTTCTGATTCGCTAATGCCATTATGACTGGCAAATACCAGGCACAATAACTGCAAACAAAGGATTACAAATACATTTTATGAATAATAAAACAAAGTACAGCACAGAACAAAATATACGAATAGTGTAGAAAGTAAACAAACATTTTCTTGTGGTTTCTGACACTGCACAATAGATTTTGTTTTTGTGTTTTTATTTGACTGATTAAAATATTGTTATTTCATTTTAATTCTATTACTGTTTATTGTATTTTATTTTACTTTTTACAACCCTTCACTTCTTTACAATCCTTTTACTTAATTGCTTCAAATTTTAGTTTGCCTTACTTATCCTTTTATGGTAAAACTTCACAACTACATTTTGGTTTTATTAATTTTCTTGTTTCTCTTCTTAATTAATTCTTAATTTTTTGCTTAAATATTTCTTTTTGATAGTGTTGATTTTAATGTTAAATTATTCATGTAGTTCAGTTGTTTAGTTTAAACTGATTAATTTCCATTTTCACTTCGTTTTAATCCCTTTGTATCGTAAATGCTCAGCTCCCTCAATGCTTTTTCGAGTAAAAATAAAGGTTGGCTGATTGATTGATTAACTGATCGATTAATTTACAGTTACCTAAAAACTGAACAGAAGCACACTGCACAGCTAAACATTAGGGGTGTCACGATATACATAGTGATTTCTATAGTTCTGGTTTCTATAGTTCTATTTAACAAAATCCATGATATTCCTAAAACTGAAACCAGTTCTCAGACCTGTGCAGTTCAGTTAGCCTACCTTGGATGGTTGATTAGTTAGGCTGTTTGAAATGGACAGGTTTCTCAGTCACGTGCAATAACAATGGACAAAGAGTGGTAGACTGAATGGTGACAGAGTGGCCACCTCTGTGGCCACTTGTGTAACATAGGTTTGACCAAATTCCTTATAGGTAAGTCTGTCCACATGTCTGTGATCTTGGCAATCTCTTCAGGGAGTTATTTCCATTCATTCAAGACCAGGCTTCTGTCTCTTTAAATTGGGAAAGACCTATAAACCATGAACTGAAAGCCACAACAGTACAGTAGTGTTTCGAAAACTTTTCTGAAATTACTGACCAAATCTGACAAAATAACGTTCAAATAACGCACAAAAACGTTTTTTCCAACTTGCTGTGATTACTTTGCATATCTATACAATAACAAAGGGCTTTTCCCTCTTGTAGTTTTACCATCAAGCTAACTGTCTCCCTTTTTTTGAAGCGTTGGACCATACCCATAAACAGAATGCTAGAACCCATAAACAAGTGAACTTCTTTTTAAACTGTTTAAACATCTCTTCTGAGTGGCGAGTTGATGTTACTGAGGGCATGTAAAATATATATATATATATATATATATATATATATATATATATATATATACACATATATATATATATATATATAAAATGAATGTAATGAAACTGAGCCTGTCTGTACTTTTGTCCATTTTTATGAGTAACAGAATGTCATGCATTGACCCTTATTCAGCAAAGTTGTGTCGAAACAAGCAACAGATTTGACTGCCCTAACTAAAACAAACTATTCCTCATCTAATACAGCAAAATGTCCCTCGAGGAAAAAACAAGCTGTGATTTGGGTGCAACCGATTAATCAGCTTCAATGTATGAAAAAAAGAGCCTGCACAAGAGTACCTTATTTACATATCATTTGCAACAGTCACACTTCACTTTGCCCTGGTTGTCTTCATAGGTGGAGTTTAGGGTCAAGCAGCAGGTGCATAGCTCAGGGCTTAAATACGTTTATAGTTTTAAAATGATGATGACTGAAGAGCATAAAATGTAAAATTAACAAAAATTCATAGCATTTTTCCCTGAATGGTAAAGTGATGTGAATGTGTAATGTGATTCTTTTTATAAAACACTGGCTGCTTGAGTGATAATATTGCAGTATATGAGTTTCTATTACACAAAGTAAGCTGTGTATTGCATGTTAGAGAGGTAGTTATTTAGGGTATCAGTTGTATAAAGCAATCAGTCTTTAAACTGAATGTATTAGCATATGAATGAGCATTTGTTCATAACAGTGTGCATGTAAAATATAAGAAAAAATCAGACCCCTTTTAGACTGGTAAAATATTACCCTCAAATTAACATGCATTTCTATCAGCTTTGGTGAGGGCAAATGTCAGAAACCACATAAGCATGTCTATTTGAGATTTATGTTAATGCCATTAACCGGCACGTACCAAGCACAATAACTGCAGAGAAAAAACTACACATACACATATTTTATAAATAATAAAAGAAACTAACATATGGAGTGTAAATAGAATTTAAAAGTATAAAAACAAGTGGCATACCCTGTATAACATATGCTTAAAAGTAAAGCAAAATGACTACACACCAGCATATATTACTGCTGTTTAGATGAGCTCACCTCTTTCATGACATTCCTTTCTCTGTCTGTGTTAAGTACATCTAGTGCCACCTTCAGGCAGAGTCTGTATAAAGCAACTGTATCCTGGCATGACACACAGTGATGTAGGGTCCTCTCCAACAACAAGGAGGATCTAGAGCTGAGAAAGACTAGATCTAGATGAAGACTGCATTGTTTACTTCAAAGGGTTTTTTTTTAATTTTGTTGTTTTAAATGTTTTAGACATGTTTTAGTATGTAAACAGAACACATAAAGAGTTGAACAGTTTGAATGGCCGAGATCTTTATTACTCAGAGAGCAAAGTAATGCTATGAATGAACTACCTTCATAGAGATGCATTCACCACTTTTTAATTATTTTAGCCAACACACGGCACAACAAATCAAGGCTAAATGAGTCAAGAACACATATAAACTCTGTATTGGACTTACTGTGTGAGAAGTCTGGCCAGCAGTGAGACGTAGAGAGCATTGCAGGTGGAAGCAGAGCGGCAGTGTACTTCCAGCTTCTTCTCCTGTATCAGAGTGGTGCATAAAAGAGTTTCACAGCAACATTTACAGCAGATCTGAAAGTACAACACTAAGGTGATGGTTCAATCAATTTATCAAAATTTCTGAACTTTGAGTGTTTCAGAAGTTTGTTACTTTAATTTTGCACTGGAGCTACAAGGCTAACTAGAAGTGGAAACATACAGTCAACAGTTAAGCACTGTGCAAGATGCACTTAAATTATCTTCACACTTGTATGCAAAAGTTTGGGCACCCCTGGTCAAATTACATGTGTTTTTGAAGTACAACCCCAATTCCAAAAAAGTTGGGACACTGTGTAAAATGTAAATAAATCTAAATAAAAACAGAATGCAATCATTTGCAAATCTCATAGGCTCATATTTTATTCACAATAGAAAATAGAACACATATTATATGTTGAAAGCAAGAAATTTTACCATTTTATGAAAAATATTAACTCATTGAGAACTTGATGGCAGCAACGCATCTCAAGAAAGTTGGGAAAGGGGCAACAAAAGGCTGTAAAAAGTAAGAGGTACTACTAAAAAACAGCTGGAGGAGCAATTTGCAACTAACCCACATGACTGGGTATAAAAAGAGTATTTTAGAGAGGCAGTCACTCAGAACCAAAAGTGGGCAGAGGTTCACCAATCTGTGAAAAAACTGTGTCTAAAAAACTGTGTAACAATTTCAGAAAAATGTTCCTCAATGTAAAACTGCGAAGACTTTGAGAACAGATGGTGGATCTACAGTACATAATATCATCAAATATTCAGAGAATCTGGAGAAACCCCTGTATGCAAGGGACAAGGCCAATGGTCAATACTGAATGCTCGTGATCTTCAGGCCCTCAGGCGGCACTGCGTTAAAAACAGGCATTTTTTCTGTATTGGAAATCACTGCATTGGCTCACGAACACTTCCAGAAATCATCGTCAGTGAACACAGTTCGCCGTGCAATCCACGAATGCAAGTTAAAGCCATATCATGCAAATTAGAAGCCATATGTCAACACGATCCAGAAATGCCACTGTCTTCTCTGGGCCAAAGCTCATTTAAAAATAGACTGAGGCAAAATGGAAAACCGTTCTGCAGTCAGATTAATCAAAAATTTAAATTCTTTTTGGAAATCACGGACGCTGTGTCCTGCAGACTCAAGAGGAGAGGGACCATCTAGCTTGTTATCAGTGCACAGCTCAAAACCCTGCATCTCTGATGGTATGGGCTTGCATTAGTGCCTATGGCGTGGGCAGCTTACACATCTGGAAATGCACTATGAATGCTGAACAGTATATAGATGTTTTAGCACAACATATGCTCCCAACCAGACAACATCTCTTTCAGGGAAGGCCTGGCATATTTCAGCAAGACAATGCTAAACCACATACTGCATCCATCAAAACAGCGTGGTTTCGCACAAGAAGAGTCAGGGTGCTGAACTGGCCTGCCTGCAGTCCAGACCTTTCACCAACAGAAAACATTTGGTGCTTCATGAAACACAAAATCCAGCAAAGAAGACCCAGGACTGTTGAGCAGCTAGAATCCTACATCGGACAAGAATGGGACAACATTCCCCCCCCAAAACTTTAGCAATTGGTCTCCTCACTTCCCAGACATTTACAGACTGTTGTTAAAAGAAGGGATGCTACACAATGGTAGACATGGCCCTGCACCAACTTTTTTGAGATGCGTTGCTGCCATCAAGTTCTAAATGAGTTAATGTTTTTTTTTTATGAAATGGTAAAATGTCTCATTTTCAACATGTGTTCTATGTTCTATTGTGAATAACATATAGGTCTATGAGATCATTGCATTCTGTTTTTATTTAAATTTATTTACATTTTACACAGCCTCCCAACTTTTTTGTAATTGGGGTTGTAAAAATAAATTGACATATCCTCTACAATGAATATACTTCTGCACATTTTAATGCACAATTACTGTTTATTTGCAGAATTTAACATACTGGAAAAAATAAAACATAAAATGTTGCTTGTGCATTAGTTATTTTATTTTTTTTTACAATATGTTAAACTCAGCAAATAAACATACATTTGGCACTAAAATCTGCAGAGAAATTCTGGGTGTTCCCTGTAGAGGATGTGTTAACTTATTTTCACAATTCAACAATTTGACATGGTTTTTAAACTTTTGCACAAGACTGTATGCTGCACTGTGCCAGAAACCAAATAAAGTGGTTTAATTTTTTTACATAAAGCTTTAACATAAAGCTCTTAATCATGATGGGTAAAAGAAGTCATGAAAAAATATCTTATTTAGCTCTCACATAAAAAATGTAACATTCAATTAAAGTGGATTTAGTGTAAGATCTTTGGTTGTACCATCACTGTAACACACATCAACTCTTGTAAAACATACACACAGCCACACACACACCTGGTCTTTTGTGAGTTTGGTATCAGTGTTCACACACGCTGTGTTGATGACACTTCTCACTTCTCTGGGGCTGAGTGGGTCCAAATGCAATGTGGGCCACAGCCTAGAGAAAGAAGGAAAGAAGGGCCTTATTCAAAATTCTTTTAGTACTTTTCCTCTTACAGTCTTTACATGTTTCTGTGCTCACAAACCAGTAAACTCTACACTGACAAAGCAAAAAAAATGGGAAGAACATCAAAAAGATGTCCTCTGCTTCTCACAAAACTGCAGCACTGCGCAGGATGCTTTCCACTTTGGAAAGCAGAAGAAATGAGAGTTTCTCTGTCTCATTCAGGAGCTTAAACTTTATGAGCTCTTTTGCACCCAGCTGGAATTTCGGTAACTCAGTGTGAGCTAATTTTAGAGATGTAGCTCCACACAGAATGTCTTCTTTGCACATTCTAATGCTTTTGACTTCAGTTAAAAATTCCAGCTGCAACACAGCTGACCCATTATCTAGGTTGCTGCCTTGTCAACGACTGAAACGTTACTGGTCCAACCATTCATGTTGTTGGTAAAAGTTCTCAAAAATTAAACAGCGGGCAAATAACAATGTTGTATTTTCAGCATCAGAAAAAAACCCATTTGGCATGCAAGATATCTTCAGTTATGCACATACTCCAATTAACTTACTGTTGACCGTATAGATCACACAAATAAACTGCACTCGGTTCTTTAAGCTCACATTAAATCTGGCTGAAAATTAAATCTGCAGTGTGTAAGATTTATGGGAAGCTATTAGCAGAATTGTATTTTAGTATACTAAACCATGTTATCATTAGTGTATAATCACCTGTAACTACTAATCATTGGGTTTTCAGTATCATAGAATGAGCCCTTCATATCTACATAGGAAGCAGGTCCTCTTAAAAACAGCGGCCACCACATTGTGGTGCCATGTTTCTACAGTAGACTCATTTTTACTTTGAAGAAGCAGCTTAAAGCAGCAGCTTCAATTTGGTGGCACTTTAGCACTAATTTTGACAAATGGAGGATCATAATTATTACTTAGCACAAGAAAAACAAGGGAGGGTGAATCCTTGTCATCAAAGAAGCGAAAACATGAAGAAACAAAACAAAATCGGAACAGGCGATAGCAAGAAATCTGATGGCCACCATGAGTTCTACTACACACTTGGAAAAGGAGGGGTAAGAGTGGCGTATTTAGTTGGATGCAATCTGCAACCTCTCCACCAGACGCCACTAAATCCTACACACTGCTCCTTTAATAAATCTAGCCCACTGTCTTTAGAACGTCTGCAGCGTGCAATTTGTGAATGTGCGTCGTCATAAAATACCTCCAAGCCTGTGGGCACGTCTCCACGTTGACAGACACCAGTACTCTGACATTAGCTGGAAGAGGATCAATCAGCCACTTCATATGCCGCTCAGCATTCTGGGAAACAAAAAACCGACCAATAGCAATTTCATGTAAAACAATGTGAAATACTGATGAAACAACACATTGCCCCTATGTGACCAGCTTTTCCCCTACCATGATTTAGGCTGGGCAGCCAAACACACTTACCGCCGGACTGTATAAGAGGATGGGACTGGCAAGTTAATGTCTGCTAAGTAATGCCCAATTTTATGTGGTATTAAATTTGCAAAATTTAAACATATTTTCAAATGTGAAGATAAATGTTTCGAGCTTATCATTAATATAGTAGTGTCATATAATGGTGTCCGGTACAAGAAAGCTGTTTTGTGTCGGAAACGCAGCGGCTAGCTCTAAGCTAAAATGGCCCTCAAAGAATTGCTGTGACTAAAAGCTTTTTTGATATATGTGGCATTCAATAAATAGTAATAAAAGACAAGAAATTAGAGCATGGCATTTGTGTTTTGGCACCGTCTTGGGTAAATTAAACAGAGTCAACTCCAGTGGCAGGAATTGAGAATCAGAGGTGACTCATCACTATTGCACATCACTAGCTTCCCCTTCTGGATGATTACAGACATAAGCAAACAACTTCCTATAGCATTCTAAGCCCTAATAAGCAGATGTTATAGCATGATTTTTACAGACTTCACAGTCTAAGTATTTCTATACAATATGTACAAGTTATTATTTGGCCCAGTATGAAATGTAAAACATACAGCTGCACATTAATTATTTTATATAAATTAATGTACTACAAATTAACTCCTAATCAATTACAATTGAAATTCTTTAAAATAATTGAGACTTTATTCATATGTATAGGGACTTAGTGTATGCATATGTACAGTGCATTTACTTTATATAAAAATTCTGTGTTATGACACTACTCTGTCTGGAACTACCAGCCAGTTCTTAAACAAAAAAATCAATGGAAAACAATGATAACCTAATATCTCACATTTAGACTTCGTTTCGGTCCCCTTTAACTAAGTAATTATGTACAACTCCATTTACAAAAACAGTTGGGATGCTGCGCAAAATGTAAATAAAAACAAAATGCAATGATGTGCAAATCATTTAAACCCTACATTTCATTGAAAATAGTACCAAGACAACATGAAGGTTGAAACTGAGAAATTTTATTGTTTTTTTCTTTTTTAAATATATGCCCATTTTGAATTTGATGCTAACAACATGTTTAAAAAAAGTTGGGACGGGGGCAACAAAAGGCCGGTAAAGTTGTGTAAATGCTAAAATTGCTAAAAAACACCTGGTGGTTAATTGGCAACAGGTCAGTTACATGATTGGGTATAAAAAGAGCATCCCAGAGAGGCTGAGTCTTTCAGAAGTAAAGATTGGGAGGAGTTCACCGCTCTGTGAAAGAAAGAGTAAATAAGAGTAAAATAGCAAAGAACTTAGAACTGTAGAGGAAATCACTGCATGGGCTCAGAAACACTTATGAAAACAAGTTTGTTGCTGCATCAACAAATGCAAGTTAAAACTCTAAAATGCAAAGAAGAAACCATATATAAACAGGATCCAGAAACGCTGCCACCTTCTCTTGGCCCAAGCTCACATAAAATGGACTGAGGCGAAGTGGGAAAGTGTCCTGTAGTCCGACAAATCAAGATTTGAAATTCTAAACTGGCCTGCCTGCAGTCCAAACCTGTCACCCACTGAAAACGTTTGGCACATTATGAAATGAAAAATACGACAAAGGAGACCCCGAACTGTTGAGCAGCTGAAATCCTATGTTAAGCAAGAATGGGAAAACATATCACTTTCACTATAGCAGTTGGTCTCCTCAGTTCCCAAACACTTACAGAGTGTTGTTAAAAGAAGAGGTGATGAAACACAGTGGTAAACATGCCCCTGTCCCAACTTTTCTGAAATGTGTTGTTGGCATCAAATTCGAAATGGGCATACTTTTCAAAACACAATAAAATTTCTCAGTTTTAACATCTGATTTTTGTCTTTGTACTATTTTCAATTAAATATAGAGTATAAATGATTTGCACATCATTGCATTTTGTTTTTATTAACATTTTGCACAGCGCCCCAACTTTTTTGTAAATAGGGTTGTAGTTGCATGTCCATATTTGGCATAATAAAATGGATCGGCGTATGTAACTGGAGCTATCTGTGTGCTAGTGTGGTTCTATCAATGTATAAATCTCCATGCTGCTTTTATTGCTGGACGCCCTGAAATAGATTTTGAATGAGCATACACACTTGTTCAGACTGGAAACCGAGTAGTTAAGCACTTACAATTGGCTACATTAAAGTAATAATAAAAGGTGACTGAAGTGTGAACTACATTCCTATGCATTTGTTTTCTTGTTAAAAATGGTGCTTTGAGTTGCATCACCCCACCGAATGATTCTCAGCCTGGTGTGTTCCGTGTTGAAAAGTGTCCGTGTGGGAAAAGCACCAGAACAGTTACCCTACGTGCTCAGAACCATTTGGCCCTGCAGTGGAAAAGAGTCCACTGTTTGAATGCATCCCTTCATGGCCACAATTTACCCATTGTCTAATGGCTACTTTCAGCATGATAATGCACTGTCATACAGAAAAAGTCATTTCAAACTGGTTCAATGTTCTTCTGTGGCCGTTCTGGTCACTGGATCTGAATCCAATAGAACAGGTAAACAGGTAAACCGCTAAAATCAACTTTTTTTTTTTTTTGAATAGGTTTCTTTTTCTTCTTAATTGCTCACACTGAAAACCTGTAAATTAGGGCCTGAAAAAGATCAGATCGCCCATTTCACTTCAACCACAGAAATCAAAATTTGCAGTTATGTTAAAAACATAACATGTTAAAAAACATGTTTGCAGTGATGTCAAAAAAGGGGAGAAAAGAAAAAAGGCAGATGCAGATGTGGACTGTGATTGGAGCTGCAGTCCATCGCATTTTCACTGAAAATACTCTTGTAGCTTTCCCACAGGAGTAACGTTTGGTCTGGAGTCTCTTTAGTTTTGAGGGTTTTAGCAACTCGTTTGAAATAAACCACACTCCACTCAGGGGGCTTTTGGATTAGCGTCATCACAAATCAACAATAATAATAAACCTTACTTGATATCTTCTCCTTTGTCACTGGTTTATCACTGTGAGTTTAACTACAGGTTGCTGATGCTCGGCCAGAAATCAACCGCAGATCTTCGTTCTTATTTTAAGGCTCAACTGTCGTTATTATCCGCTGTGCAAGAACGATATGAGAGCAATGAGAGTCTGTAAAGAGTCAGACGTTAAAACAGGCAGATTATACTGACGGTATACAGCACTGACGTGTTGCTAGAAGAAGAGGAAAGCCGGCTCTATTGACGAATTCTCTCATTTGATCATAAAATGCGTCCCACCAGCAATAAACTGAACATGTTTTTTTTTTTAAGCGGACCGAGACGAACAAGGTAGGAGAAAGTGCCCTTATGAACCTCTATGCCTCTGGCTAACTCTGCACTGCGCGCCGTGGCTGCGTTGTCTCAAATTGATGACGTTTAATCAGCCTGTGACCGCAATGTTTTGATTTATATGTCTCTACAGCCCACTATGAACCACTTTTTCCACCTGAGTAAAGGTCCATGGACCACTAAAGGGTGCTTCACGGCCCACTGGTGGTCCACAGCACACAGGTCGAGAAACAGAGACAGTGCACCTAAAATCTGCAGGAACCGCATGATGTAATCATGTCAACATGAACCAGAATCTCAAAGGAATGTTTCCAACTTTCATGCTACAAAGAATTGAGGCTGTTATGAGACCAAAGGGAGGCCCTTCCCAGCATTAATATTGTGTTCCTAATAAAGAGCTCAGTGATTTTATATCAAAAATGAATGTTACCATATTATTAATGTAGAATAGTAGATTAACGGCAGCAACAGACAAACAAGCAAATACTTGTTAATTATAATGATAAAAACAATCTCTGCTCATTTAACACAATTTTAAGAGCAGCTAACCTGTATTTGGTCAATAGAGTCAATGACAATGATGATGTTGCCATGGTGACGGGCAGACAGTCTCTCCAGCCAGCGTGGGAACTCCTCTAGGATCTTGCAGGGGTCCATAGACAGTCCAGAGATGGACCAGAAATGCTGCAAGAGCTACCGGAAGTAGAAAGTAATGAAATCATATTTACTCTTTACTCTTGTGTACTGTACTTGAGTATATTTTTCTGTTTACTTAAGTTAATTTTTAATGATGTACTTTCAGTAGTTTAGTTTAGTTTTAATTTTTAATAATGTTACAAAGTGAAAATAAATTATGAGCGTATCAGCTCATGAGCCAGTTAGAATAAAACCCGGTTAGCTTGAAAAAAAGTAGCTCTGAAAGCCACTCAAAACAGAGCAGCTGCCAGCAGCACAAACATTTCAGCACTGATGAGTTCAGAGACGTAAAATTTAGAGGATAAAAAAAGAAAAGAATGTTACCAACACACACAAGCAAAATACTTTATCCAAACAATAATATTCTTTTTTTTCAAATGCACTAAAGAAAACGTCATTATCAGCTGCCAAACAAGCATCTCGAAACCTGCTGACATTGCCAGTTTCCACAACTCAACTTCCACTCTGTGGAACCAGTTGTCAGGTAACAGGCTAACCCATCCTATCCTATCTATCCTAATCTATCCATGTTTTAGAATAAAATAGCAGCTATATTAAACTTAAAATCTCTTTCTTATGTTTAATTTCTAGCGTGTCAGTTACTTTAGTTAACATAGACATCATTCCAAATGATTTATCCATGTAAAATACTGTTTTGGAGGAATTCAGCTGTATAAGACTGTGATTCAGAAAATCTAGTTAAATATAGCTTCTCTCATAAACATGTAAACTCTGTCACGATTTTTCACTTTCTATTTATTTAGGCTTATTGGCCAGTCAATTGAACAGACTGCGGTGGACTGTGAAGCTCTATCGCTTAAAACAGATATCACCTCAAATGAATAATGAGCCATTTGAGACATCAGGGCCTCACTTAAACACAGTTTAAAACTGCTATATTATTCAGAACATCGTTTGGTCAGATTTAAAACAAACAAACAAATGAAAAAAAAACAAAAACAGTAAAGCTACTATGTCTGGACGGTCACTTAATTAAAAACGCATTTGCAAAAATACATTTACTCCTCAGTGTCACCTTCCAGATCACAGACATTTGTCAGTTAATCACAGAACTCAGCCTGACTCTCTCTGTGTGAGGTGAGAGGTTGTTTGAGTTTTTTTAACTTAAAATACATTTCTGATTCTCTTTGAAGTAATAACCAGGATCCTTTCTGTGTGGAGTTTGCATGTTCTCCCCTTGTCTGCATGGGTTTCCTCCAGGTACTCCGGTTTCCTTCCACAGTTCAAAGACATGCAGTCAGGTCGCCTGGACACACTAAATTGCCCCTAGGTGTGAGTGTGTGTGTGAATGTATATGTCTATCTGTCTGCCCTGCGATAGACTGGTGAACTGTCTGGGGTGTATCCTGCCTTCCACCCAATGTGTGCTGGGATAGGCTCCAGCTCCCAACACGACCCAGAAGGACAAGCGGCTTAGAAAATGTGTGTGTGTGTGTGCGTGTGCGCATGCGCATGTGTGTGTGTATGAAGTAATTAGTATAATTAACGAAGGAATACATTGCAGCAAAGAAAACCAAAGCTGGCTAAATTGTTATTACTGATTTTCATGGTAAAAATGTTCTACAGTTTTAAGGCTGTGAATGTCATGTTTACTATCTGTAGATCTTGACATCCATTAAAATAAGCTAATGTTCAAGAAGATAATGAGTAGAAGGGCACAATAACATCTTTCTGTGTACTGTTTAAGGAACAGCGTTTGTATTTACCTACATAAATATCATAGTTAGATGATTACATAAGGCCTCTTATTTTATCTCTTTTCAGTGAAGTACAGACCTGCCAACCTTGGGAAAATAATTTGTGTAGCACAACAGTGTAAAAACAAGCAAACAACAAAAAACAAAACACTTTGCTTAGCACATGGTCATTTCCCCACTCACCACCATATCACCAAGTTCGGTTATTCAACACGGCCTGCTGCTCTACCGCTCACCCAGTCAGTGTCCTCCTCATCTGCATGCTTATTTTAACTGTAAGGTACGCACACACACCTCTTGAATTGGAAGTGAGATGTTTTCATGGTGAGCCAAAAGTGGCCCATGGCAACACTGCATTTCACTGCAATGAGACAATTTATTGGTAGGGAGCAATAAAGAATGAATCACTACTTTAACTAGTTCTAACTTTCAATTATTGTGATTACTGAGTAGCATAACAGAAAATTTATACACCCTTTGCTTGTCATTCTGTCATAAAAATGTTTCAAATTCTGTTAAAATCAGACAATTGCTTATGTATTTGTAGCTCTTTAAGTCAGAATAAGGCAGGTCATATGAAGTTGTTCAAATATTGTTGCCACATTCTGATTAAAAGTTTTTAATATTTGTTTATCTCCAGACTCCACAGATTGTTCTAAGTGTAATTTTAAACTGATTCAACAAAAACTCAACAAGCAGTAAAAAAAAATCACCTCTTATACTTTAAACAACTGCAGAATAACTGCATTTAAAAAAAAAAGACTTCTATTTGCAAAATTGTCAGGCTTGGTGGAATACAAAAAATTCAGAAACTTTCTGTGCCATAAGATAAATACTGTAAAGCCTGTGACTGTATGCATGTTTGAAGTTGTAATTTGCATTTGATGCTGACTTTACCTCTGATGGCCAGAAAATATATTGCCATTCCTGATTCTGTGGCCAAGATTTATTTAAGTCAAATATCCATACTTCGTGTGCAATTCTGGAACATGCATATAGTTGAAAATCTTTATATGTTAATGAAAAGTGTAGTTTGAAACCATTATCTTTACTTCAATCAAAGAAAGAAATAATGACATTTAAGTAAATTTGTAGTAGATTAAGCATTGCAGGGGCCCATGGAGACCAATTTAATCGACATGTTGCATACTTCCTCAGGTAACTGTTTTGTATAATATTTCTAAATTTGGCTATAATCAGTAAGTAAGACGGATGGATTTGTAGCCCCTTATGTTAGAAAAAGCAAAGATAAACAGAGTACTTGCTGTCTCACAGCCAATTTTGGCAATAAAGTCAATATTTTTTGAAAACTCCACAGATTGTTTTTAGGACAAATTTGAGAAAATTTTTCAAACTTTGAACAATTGCAGAAATACTTCACAGATTTTTTAAAGACCTGTATATGAAAAAATGTCAATTTCTGTGCTATGCATGAAGTGATTCACTTTTACAAAAAATAAAATGTATAGGACTTATTGTTGTTTTTGTTAAATAGCACCACGTCATGGCTGACTGAGGTCAAACTTTAGAGGCTAACAGAGTTTGCTTATGTGGACACATCATAATATTTTTGTGATGATTGGCCAATGCTAAGCCCTCCAAATAACTGTTGAAAACTTATTGGCCAATGGTGGCCATACTCATCCAATAATTTAGCTGTACTTAACAGGTCACTGAAGTGGACCATTGATGCAGCATACAAAGTTTCAGCTCAACTGGCCAAGCGGTTGCTCACAGATTTGGTTGTTATAGTGCCCCCTATTGAACGATCAGTATGAAACTTTGTGGACTTACACAAAATCATATTGGGTATAGGCCTGTTAAGTTTCATGAGAACTGGTCAAGGGGATCCCGATCTTTAGACATTTAAGTAAATTTAGCTCCACCCAGAAGGGCTTAATTGATGTGACAGTCATACTGTTTACAAATTTGTTAAAAGAGTCTTGACCAGGAGACTCTCATGAACATTTTGAGACCAATATTGCTTAAATATTTAGATAAATCTCAGACCAGTATAAAAATAAATTTTTTACATAATATTATAATAGTACAAAGATTCGGATGATGAAAGAATTTTTATGCTAGGTCTTACAGTTCAGGAGATATGGCCAAAATGTAAAATGTTGCTCTACAGTGCCACCATCAGACCAGTTGTGCTCAATTTATTTGCCTGAGTAGTGGATCTGAAACTACACCTATGCACCAAATTTGGTGTCTGTATGACTTATGATGTCTACCCTACAAACTTTTTTAAGGATGCAGAAGAAGAAGTAGAAGAAGAAGAAGCAGAAGAAGAAGATGAAGAAGAAGTAGAAGAAGTAGAAGAAGAAGAAGCAGAAGAAGAAGAAGCACAAGAAGAAGATGAAGAAGAAGACGATGAGGAAGAAGAAGAAGAGGAAGAAGAAGAAGAAGAAGAAGAAGAATCCAAGCAATTCCAACAGTGTTCAATGCACCTATGGTGCTTGGACCCTAAATACAGTTCTGTGATTCTTAAATTCACGTTTAACAATCTGTGGCAAATGGACTATATAACTTATATAAAGCATTACTTTGCCAACTTACATGCCTAGTGAACAAGCAAGCTAGCCTGCAAATTATGTAATGTTAGGCTAACGTTATTAGCATTAAATATTTTCCCAAGGTTTGCAGGTCTGCGTTCTCGAGTCACAATTTCAACTTTCCACATCCACTCAAGCCTCTCGCTTTTAGATTTGAGTATGGCACATGCACAATTGAACTCAGAGGCATCATTAGCTTTTAGCGTAGTTTACAGTGACAAATCGTATCAGTGCACTTTGATGTTAAAATGCCTACCCGCTATGCAAAATGTGTAAAGGTTGGCAGGTCTGGAAGTAGCTCAGAATCCCTGATAAGATATGCAGAGTTTGGTACTGTTTAAGTAAATCTTTTTTGTTTGCCTTAAAAAAAATGATTACTTGACTGAGTCAAAATAACAACTAGATAACTCAACTTATAATTTATTTTGTAGTGACAGCCCCTCTAATAATATTCAGAAATAGAGTTTAAATTTAAGCATTTACTGAAGGATAGACACAGTAAAACTGCAACATACAAAGTAAAAGATATTACTTCAGTGTCTAATAGGCTTCAAATTTCAGTGTTTAAGACATTGAACATTGATGTATTACATGTGCAACTGCAACTACAATGTACAATATACATTATACAGGGAGATTTACTCGAAAGAGGTCCCGAATATTCTGTTGTAACTCCCGTTAGGATGAAGCAATCTGAACCAAAAAATATGCTACATACCTTGACGTATGTGTAATCGATTGCATTACATGTGATGTTGGAAGTGATCTCCGTTTTCTTCCAGACACATGAAGGGGTAACGGGAGGTATGCACCATTGAAATTGCAAGCTGTCCAGCGCCTACCTCAACACTCCGACGCAGGGCATCCCGGATTGAGGAGCACGTTGCACATTGTTTCATTCCGATTGCTTTGTCCTAGCAAGAGTTATTACAGAATATTCGGGGCCGCTTTCAAGTTAATCTCCCTGTACAATATACAATCTAATATACAACATTCACTTCACAAACCCTGTTCTTTAAACGGTGCACAGAAAGATGTGTAAATGTGCAATATACCGTGATCAGTCTCAGGAATCAAAATGTTTTGTCTTATGTAATATCATGTTTTGCTCAGTTTTATTTATAAAGATTATTTTCAATGATATTGCCAAGCACATTCCGAAATATTTTGAGGTTGTGATTATAACTCAATTACTCAAGCAGTTTTCCAATAACCTACTTACTTACTTTTCCCCAAGTAATTTCCTATAATAATACTTTTACTTGTACTCTAAATAAATTATCATTACAGTCACAGTACTCTCAACTTCAGATTTCAGAACGACTGACCAATTGTGCTTGCATACAGAGGAATTTGACCTACACATTTAGCCCATCTGTGCAGTGAAACAAACAATATTGCTGCAAATATAGTACAAGGAATCAAAAATGGTGGACCAGAATTGCACCAACAGTGGGCATGATCAGAACATATGATAAAGGGTGGCTGGGGCCTGATGGCATCGGCAGCAAGATCTATGTCCGGATATATTTTTGCAATCCTGCACCTAGAAAGACAGAGCCTAGGAAACACTACGTTGAAGAAAACTGTGTCTGATACTAATAGATGTTGAATGTATCCCCTTAACTGCCAATAGCCAAGAGTCATCTGAGTCCTCCTTCCATGACACCCAAATGTGGTTAAGTGACGAGGAAGGAATCATTTCAAACAAAAAAGGTCAGAGGGAAATCTGTACAACAAAAAGATCAAGATGAGGGGCAGGAGGAATGCATGGAATACGAAAGGCCTAGGTTGGATGCTAATGCCCAAACGCCACCTACAAGAAAGCATGATCGCCATTCACTCAGAAATACAATCTCTGTGAGTGGATTTGATGCAGGAACTGACAGACTTCAGGCAGGGGTTTCGGTCAGACATAAGAAAGGAGTTTAGGGCCTTAAAGGAAGACGTTAACAAAAAAATTAATGACGCCGCGGAGAAACTGCAAAGAACTACTTCTTGTGTTGAAGAAGTGGAAGCCCGTGCTCGCGGAAAGAGTCCCCGTGGCTGACGTGTGCAGAGCCTTCAAGCATGTTAACATCCACAAGGTGGCTGGACCTGACGGCATACCTGCATGTGCTCTCAAAGATTGTGCACATCAGCTGGCAGGAGTGTTTACAGACATTTTTAACCTCTCTCTCCCTCTCAGTTGTTCCTGCATGCTTCAAACTGGCCACCATTGTGCCAGTTCCAAAGTTAGCCAGGGTAAATACTCTAAATGACTGGCGCCTGGTTGCTCTGACCTCCATCATAAGCAAGTGCTTTGAGAAGCTGGTCAGAGACTTTATCTGCTCCTCACAACCCGCCACTCTGGACCCACTGCAGACACAACAGATCCACTGATGATGCAATAGCCCTGACTCTTCACACTGCCCTCTCCCATCTGGACAAAAAGAACACATATGTGAGAATGCTGTTTGTGGACTACAGCTCAGCATTCAACACGTTTGTGCCCTCAAGGCTTGACATTTAGGTCATTTGGGTGGTGGATGGTGGGTGGTGGATCATTCTCAGCACTGCAGTAACACTGACATGGTGGTGGTGCTTTAGTGTGTGTTATGCTGGTCTGAGTGGATCAGACACAGCAGTGCTGCTGGGGTTTTTAAACACCTCAGTGTCACTGCTGGACTGATAATAGTCCACCAACCAAAAATATCCAGCCAACAGCGTCCCATGGGCATCATCCTGTGACCACTGATGAAGGACTAGAGGATGACCAACACAACCTGTGCAGCAGCAGATGAGCTATCATCTCTGACTCTCTGTTCTATTAGACTCTCCTACCCTGTCAGTCCACCAAATTGCACACCCCTATTAATAAGAATGGCTATGTGCCAAAATTTAGCATTATGTCTAAAGTGAAAAATGTGAGAAAAGCCCCCCCATACTGAGTCTAGTGCAGTCCTTATTAAACAAGTGAGTTTCAGTTAAGAATGTTATGTCTTTTCGCAGCTTTAATAAGTGTGAGAAACCTTATTATGTTCTACTGGATTGTTAAGCCCTTTGGCATTTCAATTAGTAAATGCAACATTTTCCAGATCTACTAGTATTAGGGCCATACTCCAGTATCAACATTGACATAATAACAGCCTGACTAGAAATAGCATGGTCATAAAACATCCTAAAGAGCAACAATCTTCTGTAGCTTTGTGGAGTTACAGTTGGAAAACATAAAAAAAAAAAACAGAAAACAGGACAACACAATATAACACATACAGTTCACAAAACCCCTTTGCTGGCCCCTCCCCAAATGAGAGGCTGTTTAAATGCCCAAATGTGTACTGTCACTTAACATATCAAAGCTTACCTTGTGAGACTGAGCCTCACTAAAACTATATGAACATCAGCATAAAATGATGCAGCTAAGCTTAACCGTAATCAAACATATAACATTCTCTTTAAATTTCCAAACTTGGGCCAAAGTTACGACGCACTTCATGTTGGTAATGTCAGCCACAGTGAATGGGTAATAACCATGGATATTGTTAACATTAGAAAGATAGCTATCCTGCCAAGAAACTAAACCAAACCAACTAACTATATCTTCACAGAACTCTGTCCATCCCCAAAAAACATAAATCTATTCACCTTCATGGTAATATATTGCATTTTTGGTCTTTAACTTATTCGAGACAAGTAACATTGGTCCAACATACTGCTGTATGGATGTGGAGCCTCACAAAAAAAGTACATTGTTTTTTTTTGCATTTCAGGTTCTCTGTAATAAAGCCCTTGGCCTGTTTGGGATCCTTAAAGTGTGTACACTCGCCCTGCACCTTGTTAAACTCAGCCCTCCGCTTGGCAACTGCTGGAGTATAATCAGGTCGGACGTGGATTTTATTGCCGTCTCCTGTAATCAACTGTTTAATTTGCCTGGCTTTTCTTAGAACCGCCTCCTTCTCTTGTCTGGCCTTCAAAGTGAACCTTCAGAGTGGTGAGTGCTCTCTGCATGTTAGCCATTTCTCATTCCAGACCCACGATCAGATCAAACTGGCTGTCCACACGTTTCTCCAGACTCAAAGACGACCTCACATTTCTCCAGAGCCTTGCTTTTGGCATTTGCTTTATCGTTTGCAAATTCAATTTCTGCTCTGACCTGGTCAATCCGATTTCAGCAGATTGTGCCTCTGCTTTAGTGAGCAATTCAGTCCTCAGCTGGGCAATCGCTTGGAGGATAGCATCCTGCTCTATTCTCCGGTCAAGTGAAGCATTAGCATCTGGGTTAGCCCTGGAGTTAGCAAGTTTGTCGAGCACTGTTCGAGAGTTTTCAATATTTCTTCAAATTAGGTTGCATCACTACAATTATTCTTTTTTATTGGCATGCAACCAATTGAGATTTGCAATTATATATTACAGTGGATACAACTGTGTACATTTCACTTCAGACATTGGGTTCAATACTACTTATGTCAGCTCTAATCTTAAATGTTTATAAGTTTATAAGAGACTGAAGTAACATCCTTTATATGTTGCAGTTTTACTAAATTTAAACTCTAATTCTAAATATAAATGGAGGAGCCTGTTGGCCTCTCAGCTATCTACCAAGCTGATCAGCTTAGATCAGGGGTGCACAATCTTATTTTCAAAGGGCCAGTGTGACTGCAGGGTTTCAGTCCAACCCAAGTAGGAGCACACATGATCAATTGTTTGAAGACACACCATTAAACAAGTAGAATCAGATGAGCTTCTGATCATTTGGAATAAAAACCTGCAGCCACACCAGCCCCTTGGGCTATGTAATTCGTGTACATGCTGGTCCCACCGATTAATACAACATTCCAAAGTCTATGCAAACATAACAGTCAAGGATAATGCCATAAATAATACAGAATGAAACAGTTGATGCGTGTGGTCATAGGTGTGTGCATATTGAGTATTTTACAACAGCTTCAAAAGCGGCTTTGGCAAATCAGATTTTGGAACTGGGATGAGTTGTTTATGATAATATAGCGTTATTTCCATAAGACAATATCAGTAAGTCTTTGTATAATATTACAACTGGAGTGAGATGTGATGTGTAACTGTCAGACCTTTACAGTGAGGCGTTTAATGATGAGGACGGGTTCTGCGCTGGTGGAGAGAGGGCGGCCCACAAAGTGATAGAGGATCAGGGTGTTGGGGGAGTGCTTCTGTTGTAGCTCTATCCTGCGACACATTCATAGAAAAGGTTTCAACATAAACCATACAGACTCAAAACTCAAAAGCTGATCAACATGTAAATGAGGTCATACAGTATCTCACAAAAGTGAGTACACCCCTCACATTTCTGCAAATATTTTATTATATCTTTTCATGGGACAACACTATAGAAATGAAACTTGGATATAACAAAGTAGTCAGTGAAAAGCTTGTATAGCAGTATTGATTTACTGTCCTCTGAAAATAACTCAACACACAGCCATTAATGTCTAAATGGCTGGCAACACAAATGAGTACACCTCACAGTGAACATGTCCAAATTGTGCTCAAAGTATCAATATTCTGTGTGACCACCACTATTATCTAGCATTGCCTTAACCCTCTTGGGCATGGAATTCACCATAGCTGCGCAGGTCGCTACTGGAATCCTCTTCCACTCCTCCATGATGACATCACAGAGCTGGTGGATGTTAGACACCTTGTGCTCCGCCACCTTCCGCTTGAGGATGCCCCACAGGTGCTCAATTAGGTTTAGGTCTTGAGACATACTTGGCCAGTCCATCGCCTTTACTTTCAGCTTCCTCAGTAAGGCAGATGTCATCTTGGAGGTGTGTTTGGGGTCGTTATCGTGTTGGAAAACTGCCATGCGGAGCAGTTTCTGAAGGGAGGGGATCATGCTCTGCTTCAGAATATCACAGTACATGTTGGAATTCATATTTTCCTCAATGAACCCCAGCTCCCCAGTGCTGGCAGCACTCATACAGCCCCAGACCATGATGCTACCACCACCATGCTTGACTGTAGGCAAGAGACAGTTGTCTTGGTACTCTTCACCAGGGTGCCGCCACACATGCTGGACACCATCTGAGCCAAACAAGTCTTGTCAGACCACAGGACACGGTTCCAGTAATCCATGTTCTTGGACTGCTTGTCTTCAGCAAACTGTTTGCAGGCTTTCTTGTGTGTCAGCTTCAGAAGAGGCTTCCTTCTGGGACGACGGCCATGCAGACCGAGTTGATGCATTGTGCGGTGTATGGTCTGACCTCTGACAGGTTGACCTCCCACTTCTTCAACCTCTGCAGCAATGATGGCAGCACTCAGGCGTCTATTTTTTGAAGCCAACCTCTGGATCTGACGCTGAACGTGTGGACTCAACTTCTTTGGTCGACCCTGGCGAGGCCTGTTCTGAGTGGAACCTGTCCTGGAAAACCGCTGTATGACCTTGGCCACCATGCTATAGCTCAGTTTCAGGGTGTTAGCAATCTTCTCATAGCCTAGGCCATCCTTGTGGAGAGCAACAATTCTATTTCTCACATCCTCAGAGAGTTCTTTGCCATGAGGTGCCATGTTGAATATCCAGTGTCCAAAATGGATCAGATAAAAGAAAAAACTTTTAAGAGAAGAAATGTTGGAAAGTAACAGTAAATTGCCTGGTAAAGAGGCAGCAAAAAATAAAGAAAAGAAAAAGATAGAAGACAACTGTGCAATATATTAACCTGGTAGGAAATGTAACACAAACTACTGTTGACTGTTAAAAGTGGTGACCGAAGTGTGACTGCCAGCGTACCTTTTAACTTTTTAATTTTAATGTTGTTGTTGGTACTAATTATAACACCTTAAAATACTATTTTTAGCTGCAAGAACTATATTTTTAGCAGGTAAGATTAGATTTCTCACTAGTAAGAATTCAAGTCGTTCATCATAATTGCAATAATAATTTTTGTTGACATGAATTACAATTTAACATGTGGTCGTATCTGTCCACAAAATTAAAAAACATTTATAGTTTTACCTGTTATTTCATACTTTTGATTTGATTTTAGGAATTCAATTTGCACATTCCATTATTAAATATTAAATTTCAACTATTAAAAATTTAGTTTTGAGTAGTAAGAAATACATTTTCACTTGTTAAAAATTGTTATTTTTAAATGTGTAAATTGAACTCCTTTCGATCAGTTCGAACATGTAATCAGAATCTCAAATTAATCTTTTCTCATCTGGAACACATGCTAAACCTACATTCCATATACAGAAGGGGGTTTAGCAAAACATGAAATTAAACGCAGGAAGGAAAGGACAGTATAAGCACAATACCAGTTGAAAGTCTGATAGGAATCTGTAAATAATGTCTTCTTCTGAAACATCTAAATTTGCATTTCTTATGGTAGAAGTTTGTGGCAATCTGAAATCTTCCTTGTACGCTTTACAACAGCAGCTACGATGCTGAGATGCTCAGTCCAAACAGATCAAACACGCCTTTTTAATATATTGGTTAATCAGTTGATAATTAAATATAATTTAATCTACAACCCCATTTCCAAAAAAGTTGGGACGCTGTGTAAAATCTAAATAAAAACAAAATTCAATGTTGTGCAAATCATTTAACCCCTATTTCATTGAAAATAGTACAAAGACAACAAATTAACTACTGAAACTGTTTTTATTGTTTTTTGAAAAATATATGCCCATTTTGAATTTGATGACAACACGTTCCAAAAAAGTTGGGACGGGGGCATGTTTACCACTTTGTTTCATCACCTCTTTTTTTAACAACACTCTGTAAGCGTTTGAGAAATGAGGAGTACAATTGCTGTAGTTTTGAAAGTGAAATGTTTTCCCGTTCTTGCTTAACATAGGAGTTCAGCCGCTCAACTGTTGGGTCTCTTTTGTCGTATTTTTCATTTCATAATGTGCCAAATGTTTTCAGTGGTGACAGGTTTGGACTGCAGGTAGGCCAGTTTAGTGCCTGGTCTCTTAATACAGAGCAATGCTGTTGCAATACATGCAGAATGTGGTTTGACATTGTCTTGCTGAAATAATCAAGGCCCTCCCCGAAAAAGACGGCGTCTGGATGGCAGCATATGTTGCCAAAATGTATACATTGTTCAGCATTAATGGTACCTTCACAGATGTGCCAGTCATCTAAGCCATGTGCACTAATGCACCCCTATACCATCATGAATACTGGCTTTTGAACTGTGCACTGATAACAAGCTGAGTGGTCTTCAGCCCGGAGGACGCAGTGTTCATGATTTCCAAAAAGAATTTCAAATGTTGATTCGTCAGATCACAGGACACTTTTCCACTTCACCTCAGTCCATTTTAAATGAGCTCAGGCCCAGAGAAGGTGGCAGAGTTTCTGGGTCCTGTTTATATATGGTTTCTTCTTTGCAGAGTTTTAATTAGCACTTGTGGATGCAGCGACAAACTGTTTTCAAAGACAGTGTTTTTTAGAAGTTTTTCCTGAGCCCATGCTGTGATTGCTACTACAGAACCATGTCCCTTTTTAATGCAATGCTGCCTGAGGGCCCAAAGATCATAGCCAGCATATACTGGTTTTTGGTCTTGTCCCTTGCATAGAGATTTCTCCAGATTCCCTGAATCTTTTAATGTTATTGTGTATTGTAGATGAGGAAAAGCAAAAGCTATTTGCTATTTTATGTTGAGAAATGTTATTCTTGAATTGTTGCACTATTTGCCTGTGCAGTCATTCACAGAGTGGTGAACCCCTCCTCATCTTTACTTCTGAAAGACTCAGCCTCTCTGGGATGCTCTTTTTATATCCAACCATGTTATTGACCTGTTGTCAATCAACCACCAGGTGTTTCTTTAAGCATTACACAATTTTACCAGCCTTTTATTTCCCCCGTCCCAACTTTTTTGGAACGTGTTTGCTGGCATCAAATTCAAAATGGGCATATATTTTCAAAAAAACAATAAAATTTCTCAGTTTCAACATTTGATATGTTGTCTTTGAAGCATTTTCAATGAAATATAGGGTTTAAATGATTTGCACATCATTGCATATTGTTTTTATTTGCATTTTTCACAGCGTCCCAACTTTTTTGGAAATGGGGTTGTACGTTGTTTTTTTATGTTGTGTTAAGAATCACTACAGGTGCATAAAAATGAGATAAAAGCGCGGCCACGCCTCACATCACACAAGCAGTAAAACACACCAGTAATCCTCTTTATGAATGAGCAAAGGTGTCACCATGGAGCTTTTTTCTCTTAATGTCACAGTAAATCTGGCAGTGTGTTTTATGAATTTGGTCCATTATGTTTTTTAACAGGAAAAACATAACTGACCTACTTGTTATCTAGTTAATGGTAGGGTGGGCAACTTCTCTGTTTGCATATAAGTAAGGGCGGGATTTAGAAGTGAAGCCCTACTACATTAATGGGTGGCCACAATGTACAAAAACTACTGTTCTCAGTAGCAATGAACATTTTACCTGTTTTGAAAATAGTAAGTTATCACCCACTGTTTCCTCTGATCACACACATCTATCTCATCTCTACTCTGTTGAACTGATTGGCCAGATTAACTATGATTATCCAGTTAGTGCAAGTGCGCATTTTGAGTGCATTTAGCAATAGCCTGTAAGCAAAACTGGACATTTAGAAAAAGAAGATGGCTGTGAAACTGAATAAAAATCCATTCACATGAAGTAGGCCTGCTGTGGACCATCTATGCAATAGGATGTGTTGCTGCACAGTTTTCAAATTCAGTGCTTTTTATTCTATTTTAAGATATCAGCGTAACAAAAATAACACCATTTCCACCACATATCAACACACACTCTCAAATATGGCACATATTAAATATCTATTTGATTAAAACCCACTGGCACAACCCTTATTTGGTCTTTTCAATGTGTTTGGCTTTATCAGTCCTGCCATCCTCTAGTCCTTCATCAGTGATAAGACTACATCATTTTTAGACCAGAGGACTGCTGCTGAGTGGATATTTTGGTTGGCTAACTATTCTGGATTTGTTTAATCTATATATGATATACCGCCTTCAGTCAACATCAGTCATTTCAGTTTATTAACATGTAACTGATCGTTTTTTGCTCTTATTTTAAATTTTGGAGGTAAATAGTAGTATTTAAATATATTAGCTTTTGCTGCTGGTCTTCCATGTCATACAGGAACATTTAATTTAAGTGCAACCAGTGTTTCATACTTTGAGCTGCAGATACAAATCACACCAGCTGCCTCCTGATTGGTTAGACGCATCACATTGGCTGGGGATTCATTTGCATAAAGTTCAGCTCCACACAATTTCTGACACACTGCATTCCCCGAACTCAATGTGCTGGACCAATCATGCACCGCATGGCCGCATCTCACTGAGCGTTCATTGAAAACGAACAGATATGTTATGGTGCGTTGATGTGCCGGAGCACTGCAAGGCCAGAAACAAACTCAACGCAATTATGTGAATGCAAACGACAACACCCGCCCAACGCCTTGCAAACGCATGGCCCTTCTGTACAAACTTACCGTGCATTCTTACACCACTGTGGTGATTAAAGCACTTAGTATTCAAGGGGGCAATAGAGCACAACTTAGAATGACAACTACAAACCACAACTACTAAACATGTGAACAGAAGAGGAGTGTGAGTTGCTTGACCTATCCTATTAGAATGAATAAATTATGATGTAACACATATATGTCTATGCAAGGAAAAAACTGTTGCGAGAGACTCATCCAACTGCTTGTCTGCTATGACAGTTGACCAAGGAAAGCGTATTGGCAGCATGAGACAGCTTGGCCAGGCTTGGCTGTTGCTATAGCACCCTTTGCTGTAATGCTCAGAATGCAGCTCACACTTGCACTGAGTTATTAACTGGATTGTGACACAACTTAGAATGCAACAACGCGCAAAACCATGTCTGTGTAGCTTGATGCATTTGTGTTTGCATACTTGCATGATGTAGGCTGATGCATGACTTGCGTGATATGTTTGGCCTAAATGCAAGATAATACTAAGTAGCTGCTGAAATGTTTTTACCATGCTGCTGTTGTGTTGGTTAGCCAGTAACCATCAATAAAAAAGCTGCATATTTGGTTGTCACAAGGAAATATTTAAGAATAAACAGATAATTGCTATGAGTATTTCAGTTTTATTCAATTCATCTACACATTAGTAACTTCAATCCTAAATATTTTTTCCATGGAAAAAGTCAGCGCAAGCGTTTCCATGGCAGCAAGTTTATAGCAGTTGTGATTATGCTACTGTCATGTTAAAACAACATACACCAGTCAGGCATAACATTATGACCACCTCCTTGTTTCTACACTCACTGTTTTTAAACACTGTGTCAACTCACTGTCCACTCTATTAGACGCACCTGTGTTGTTGGTCCACCCTGTAGATGTAAAGCGAGACGATAGCTCATCTCTTGCTGTACAGTATCAGCTAATCATCCTCTAGTCCTTCACTGGTGGTCACAGGATGCTGCCCCCAGCACGCTGTTGACCAGATATTTTTGGCTAATGGACTATTCTCAGCCCAGCAGTGACACTGAGGTGTTTAAAAACTCCAGCAGCACTGCTGTGTCTGATCTACTCGTACCAACACAATACATACTAACACACCACCACCACGTCAGTGTTACTGCAGTGCTGAGAATGATCCACCACCCAAATAGTACCTGCTCTGTGAGGGTCCATGGGGGTCCTGACCACTGAAGAACAGGGTAAAAGGGGGCTAACAAAGTATGCAGAGAAACTGATGGACTACAGTCTGTAATTGTAAAACTACAAAGTGCATCTATATAGTAAGTGAAGCTGATAAAATGGACAATGAGCGTAGAAACAAGGAGGTGGTCGTAATGTTATGCCTGATCGGTGTATACAGCAGATAGTTGTTACTAGTTAAGGCGTGACAATGATTTGTGGTGCAACAAAATTTGTTATTATAAATTTAGTAAAGCCTTTACGCACAAACCTATATACAAACGTACACAAAACCGGTGCAACCCAGGCCAGATAAATACAATATGCTGGGACTTCGCAAAATTTAATACCTCTAATAGTGAAAAATAAGAAATTTTCAGACTTTTTATGATCTTACATTTTTGGGAACTCTTACGGTGTAAGTTTTATGCAGAAGTTAAAGATACCATTTAGCAAGCAGAAGAGATTTGCCTGAGCCTGGTCCTCCAGACACCAGCAGAGGAGGAGTAGGCGGGGGAGCAGCAACCATGTCATTCAGTCTTTCAATGTACTAAAGAAAGGGAGAGAGAGAGAAAGAGAGAGAGAGAGAGAGAGAGAGAGAGAGATTTAACTTAATACTCTAACTTAATTCAGTCTTATTGATGTATACTATATATCTGTCTCATATCATCGATTAAGACTAATTTCAATTTACTGATAATTACTAAATTACTTAAATAATTACTTAAATTGCATACTAAAATAATTAAATCAATACTTACTTATAACAGAAACCACTGATGGATTGCTGAATCCCATGAATAAATGCTTGCAATACGTGAAAGTTAAATTTTAGGATGAAATTAACATGAGAGATGTTTACTAAAGAGCTGTTCCTAAAGTCTCAGCACGTTATTTCCCCCACTTACTCAAAATCTCAGTCTAGTAGCAAGTCTGTAATTATCCACCTAGCAATACTGCTTTTCAGTGTAACACACTGTGCACTGAACAATGCATGAAATGAGCTCTAAAGTTCTAAAATATATGTACATTGTACAATAAATCACTTTTGAATTACACTGGTCCATAATTAATATTTAGGATTTAGGTGGCAAAGCGGTTGATTATAATTAGTCTGGTTATATGTAGTTAGCATTTGCTCACAGCACTTCATATCACTGCTTTCAGAACAAAACCTCATATCATCATTGTTGTTCTTTTTCAGTTGTTGAGACAATTTGAAAGTACTTGTTGTCCCTTGCATTGTATGCAAATTTCAGGATGAATGGATCAAAAGGAATGGAAAAATAATAAAATTATTATATATTCACACTAGAATGTTGCTGGTCTTCAGAACAAGCCTATATTTTAACTGGCATCCAAAATAGCTAGTAAACAGTAACTATAAACAATCATGATTTTTTTTATTTAGCATCATATATGGGTTTCTTTGGAATTAGAACAGAGCAATATTATATTTTTGTGCACTGGAACATAATTTCAGTCTGAAAGGGTTAAATGCTTGGGGCGCAATGTGACATCATTGACTAGTCACTGTACACAACTGTTGACTATTTACAGTAGTCTGTGAATTGTATTACCATATTCAAACAGACATCAGAGAGACTGTGAAACTGTAAAAAACAAAGAAAACATGTTCCTTGAATGTCTGTTACAATCTTTACTTATCCATGTTTAAGGTATTCAATACTAAAAACAAAAGACACAATAGACAGCTTGTGAATGGGAACTTCTATCAAATTAGCATTATGTTTGCAGTAACAGTTTATTGTAATGAGAATTAAAAACAGTTTCCGAAGTAAACAATGCTGTATTAAATAAATAAATGTTTCGCATGTCAAAGATTTAAAATAAAAGTGGCATATATGTGCCGTATGACATATCCATCCTAAACATTCTGCACCAGTCATTATATTACAAAGCTTAACGTGGAAATTTGTAGTTTATCTTTCTCACCTAGTTAGTTATATATTATGGTTACCAAATGTACTTAAAAGCCTGCCAATAGTGGCCAAATATTAAAGAAAACAATCTATTTTGGATATTTTTAGGTTAGCTACCAATTCTGAACAAAGCATGTATTATCTATTGCACCTTAATTCTCTTAAATGTTTTCATTCCACAATTTAAGGAAAATAAGGAAAGCTCAGCTTCATTCATGATATTGAACAGGAATGGAATAGGTGGGCCATGAGTTTTCAACTTTTTCAGGGAGAAAAGGTCTCTGTCTGCTCTTGCTTCTGCCGTGCTGTGGCTGTTGTGATTCTTTACAAGATTCACTCAAAGGAAGGACCGTTTTTATGTGATCAGAGCATGGGAGCACAAGAGGAGTTTGTGAAAGCAGAGCCTGCATGTCTAAAAAACTGCATCTTGCAGAAAATGCATCTTGTTTGATGAAATTGAACCGACTGTATTTCCAAGTGCCCACATAACGTTACCGTGCATGTTTGATACTGTGGTATAGCAAATGCCAGCATGTGTAACATACATTATGTATCTAACTTGACCAGTACCATCAAAAACTATACTCATATACAAAAAGGCACCAAATTAGGTTAAAGTTCAAGGGGAGATATTGTGGAGTTGGAATAAGAGTATGAGAATGAAGTAAGAAGAGGTGACAAGAAGAACCTTCTGGAAGCTGTGGTTGCCCGCAGCACCGCAGACATTCTGAAAAGCTTCAATCTGCTCCTGTTCATCATGCAGATCCCACAGAACGTCTCCAGAGTCCACATCTTCTCTTTCCTCTACTACTCCACTGTCGTCCAACTCCAAACCTAACAATTCCTATTCACAGAGAGTAAGAGAGAGAGATACAGTGGAGGAGGGGCATCATTATACACTTGCCTCAAATCACACAAAATCACAAACAGATCGCCTATGTGGATGCAGGTTTTCACTCTAATCAACCAGAAGCACATGCAGTTCCACTTGTTTAATCAGTTAGCCTCCTTCCTTCAACACTTGATTGTGATATGAGGTGAGCTCCTGCTTGGTTAGCATGAAAACCTGCAGCCAGAACAGCCATTTGCGGATAAGATTGGTGGCCCCTTCTGTATAACATATTGTTATCTATAAATATGGACAAAAGTACATACATAAAACAGCCTTCAAGGTGTCTGTTACTGTTTTTAGATATGCAATGTACGTCTGTATATTTTTGTAGATAACAGTGTGTCATGCAGCAAAAGAAACCACATAATCAAGTCCATTTGAGACTACTTAACTCATCAGTTTGTTATGTTTGTTATAATTTTGGCAAACAGAGTGCTTGATGCTAAAGTGCCTGCTATACGCCTTTAGTAGTTATATGCTTTTTGATCTGATCTTCTGATCTTCAGATTTATATTCTTTAATTTCTCCAAGTTTAATTACTGCATTCTTTCACCTCCAGCATGTGTTTAACACATATCTACATATCCCACAGATCAAGAAGACCCCACAACCATCGCAGGAACTGCAACAACAGTAACTTCCCCCACAGACATCACATTTTCAGACCAGGGTGACAGGTGGACTCTGAAATTGCCAGTCTGCACTCCAGAAGGCAGAGACTCACATTGACAGGGACTTAGATCAACTACGAAAACTCAACACTTCAGCAACCCTATTATCTGTTTTTAACCCATTCTCCGCTACAGACTGGAGACTAGACTAGAGACTAGAGAGTGGCATTTCACTCCACTATCATTCTCTTCCCCATTGATGGAATGGTGACTTCAACCTTCTATCGGACAAGCTGCAGTCATCCTGCCGCCTTCCACTGTTGTTATCCTTTGACCTCATACTCAACCAGTCTCATTCAACACACAGAGCAGGCACTGTTCTTGATCTGACCTTCAGCAGGCCCCAGAGCAGGATAACACAGTAATCCCCCCCACTTCTTAGATCACTTTCTATCTTTCACACTCTCCCTCACCGCTCTTTCTGTTCACATCACATCTTCCTTACTCACCCCCCACCCCCCAAATCAGGCCTCATGTTCTAGCTCTAAATTCTCTGAACTGTTTTTATTCTTTTTCCACAGATGACTTCCTACAGCCACTGACATCCAGTAATCCAACCATCTGCCCAATAGAACCCAATCCCAGCTCTGATGTCAGCATCTACTGACCAGTATCGCACTTTTCTTTCCCCTCAAAAATTCTTCAACTTGCTGTCTACAATCAATTGTCTCTCTTTCTCACTCCGAACCAGCTCCAAAACACCAATCAGTCTGGCTTCAAACTAGCACACTCTACAAAAACTGCCCACATAGCAGTGACTGAAAGGATCCAAAAAGTATCATCGGTTCTAATCCTCCTTGACCTCTCTGCAGCCTTTGAAATGGTCAAGTCGAAGATCCTTCTGTCCCACAAGGATCCGGTGTTCCACAAGGACTGATGCTGGATCCTCTTTTCTTTTCTCTTACACTCGTTCTCTTGGTGATGTAATTTCCTTTCATGGCTTCTCCTACCATGCTAGGCAGATGACACCCAACTAATCCTTTCCTTCCAACCTTCCGACACTCGGGTTTCCAGGTGCATGTCAGCACACAATTCTAGCAAGACAGAGCTGCTCTTTACCCCTGGAACTACAGGTCCTCACCATGATCTTGCCATCTCCTTCACTGGTCATTCCATCTGAAGATGCAAGAAGCCTTGGTGTGACTCTGGATGATCTGGATTATTGTTCTTAGCTCATACTGCAAACCTGAATTGGTCATGGAGGTTTCTCCTCTACAACATCCAGAGGATTTGACCCCTCTCTCTAGGGATGGCACTCAGGTTTTCAACTTGCTCCTGGCTAAACGTCCTATGTGAGTGATCGAGCCATTGACAATGGATCCAGAATGCAGCAGCACAGCTTGTCTTCAGTCTTCCAAAATTCATGTCACTCCACTGCTGCATTCCCCTTACGAGCTTCCTGTAGCTGTCCACATCAGATTTAAAACCCTGATGCTAATGGCAATGGTCAAAACTCAGTCTGTACCCCAAGCCCTTTGAGGTTCATGTCCAACCTGGCTTGACACACCATCCTACCAATTTCCACTGGCTGTCCGAAAAGCAGGACCTCTCACTGTCTTCAAATGCAGAGCGAAAACCAACCTCTTTGTAAACCACTGAAGTGAACACTAATCTAGTACTTACTGAAATGTATTGTATAGCACCAATGCCATGTCTTAATTCTTATTTTGTATCTTTCTTTCTAGGTTTCAGCACTGGCCTTTGTTTCTGGCAGTGTCTTAGCTCAAGGGTACCTTGAACCTATTTGTATTAGCTATAATGTATTCTCTAAGTGGTCAACAAAGTACTTTTGCAAATTTAGTCTGGATAAGGGTGTCTGCTGAATCACATAAATGAGAATGTAAATGTAATGTAAATGCTTCAACGTATCCAAGAGAAAATGCCTGTACCTGTTTAATAATCTTCTCTAGCTGAGTGTAAATAAGCGCTGCTCCATCCTCTGCAGAGCCTGCATGGTCCACCACCTGTACATGAAAAATGCCAAATGACCACACTGAATTCTTAGTATAAAAAAATATTAGTTTTATTACACAACATAGAACAGACTTTTTCAGACAATTATTTTTAATAATGACAAAGACAAAGTGGTAACATATTAATTGAACTCTGCTTCAAAACACTGACATAACTGTGCAATAACATGTTATGAAAGATTTTGTAATATGACTTTGTTTCATGTTACTATTTACAGACAATTGTCATGAAAGATGCCCTAATGTTTGACATCATGTGATACCACAATAATAATAATAATAATAATCATTATTATTATTATTATTGTTATTATTATTATTATGTTTTTATTTATTGTTATTATTATTGTTATTATTATTATTATTATCATAAAAATTAGCAAAAGGTAAGTTTTGCTAAGTCTACTATAGATAGTTGTCATAACATCAAACATTGAACTCAGAGATATACACGGGGCCCTAGGGGGTCTCGTTTGCCCCTGAATGTCTTAAAATCAAACCTTTTTTTTTCTGGCGAAAAAAAGGTACAAATTCTGAAGAAAAAAAAAAAACAAATTCAGAGAAAGGTCCCTGTTTAGCTTGTTTCACCCACAAAGAGTGAGCTTTTGTCTTTGGTAGTCTTAACTAACTAGAGATGCAGCACTGGTCTGCCTTACGGTTGTGCTGACGCAAAATGGTTCACTCAGTTGGTCCTTCATAGCCGAGCAACTATAACTATGCCAGGTATATCTCTGAAAAACTTTAAATCGTAGCATATTTGTCAATATGAAAACTTGTCCAATTCTCCAAGAGACTGGTTGAAAGAGTGGATTGTTACTCATTTTTCAAACAAAAGACAAAACAGGAGATGTACTAGATTTCTAAGAATATGTGGAAGATTGCATTACCAAACTAGAAAAGAGCATTTTCAAAAGACTGTTAAACCAAACCTTTTTTTCTTGCCACTGAATCTTGCATCAGCACCATTATGGTAACTGAGTTAGCAGCTAGCCACACTGTAAATTTTTTGGGGGTTTTAACTTTAAAAAGTTAGAGTTAAGGCTGCCTAAATATTATTTGATATAATTATCTGAGTTGACAGGACACAAACCACAAATTCTTGTTCCATTAACTTTCTATTTTAAATTCAATTAACTCAAAAGCCCAAGCACTAACTTCTTTAACTTCAGTGCTTACAATGCAACGCTAAAGTAGTCAGCTAACACGGGACCTCCTGAATACACACACTGACTGCAATTAACAGTGAAGTAACATGACAGTGTTATATTAATGGACATAATCTGACATGATGACTCATTACAGCATATGACATGTTTATGGCATTGTTATATCATGTAGCAGGTTTCAAGTAAAGTGTTACCAAAAAAGTTTCACTGGTAAGACAAAATGCCATCCAGGGCAGAAGACATTTATTTTTAGAATGTATGACAACACTAACCTGTTGAGACGTATTTTCTCCATTTTTATCAATTCTTTTAACAATGCTTCCATTTTTGTTCCTATAAACCAAAAAGTCCCTTTTCTATCAAAATCCAAACCTTTTTTCTATTCGAATTCCCAAATCATAGTCTTCCCTTTTAATTTTTTGGGGGCTACATCACATCACACATACATGTTTGTTTTTCATACATTTCTAAATTTGCCTGATTTCAAATAAGGGACCCTTCACACATGCAAATGGTAGTGTCCCCTACCTTAATTTTTGCAGTCTTGTCTGCATTGTTGACCCTTTCAAGTAGCTCTCTGGTGGCTGGGCTGAGACTGGATGCTCCGCTACACTCCCCTTTCCTGTCTCCCAACTTCAGATACACGAGCAGAGGACGAGAGTCTGGACACTTCACAAATGCCTCTTCGACATCTTTCACTACAAAGCTACACAGCCACAGAAAGACAAATCAAAGCTCACAGATAAGAAGTGCATTTTGTATTGTTTTAATCTGCTGTTTTATCAATGATTTTATTTATGCTTTTAATAAATATACTAAATATAAAAAGATAATAAAGAAAATATATTATTAGCTTTCACGTCAGAAAAATCTACTATTAAAATTATTACACTATGTAGGCTATGGTATGTGCGAAGAACTCCAATGTCCCTGACTACAGAGGTCTACTGGCAGAGACATTATAAAGAAGGAGACAGCTCACTAGTTGGAAAATCAATGGAAAAGCTCATTATGCTTAACATGGCGTCTTTTATGTGGAAAGTTGTCAGTTTACAGGTTAAGCCACAAGCGGAAAAACTTTTCCTCATTGTGGCGAAAAGCGCACGCGCAATAGTCAGAACAAACTGTTTTTGTGTGTCATTTGAGCCAAATGCTACAATTTTTTATGATAATTTTCTCTGACTTTACAAGAGACTTCAAAAATGCTTTTGAAATATTAATATGGTTTTTAGTTTCAGGTTTACATGTCTTTCTCCATTCAAAGAAAGCATGGTCTTTAATGACTAAAAATAACTGCCTAGGGACATTGCAAGATGGCTGTTGAGTGGACAGGCTTTCTAATAAGGACTTTGTTGTTAATCATTCAGGACAACAAATTCCATATTTTTAGTTATACTTTGCGCTTAGGCACTGTTGTTTGTAAATATTTTTATCATTTCAAAACCTGTTGCTATAGATAGGACTTCACTTCCTCTCTCTAGTGTTTTGCTAGATCCTGCATATCGAGCGGGACATTGTGGTTTTTTAAGTAGCATCTAACATGGCAAAGTTCAGAGAGAACCATGCCCTCTCTTGTTAGTTGACCCTCTTGTCTAATGTCCCTCATAGAAACCACAAAATAAATCCACCAGACTAATTTTTTTTTTTCATTTCTTTTTGCCTTTTTTCACTTTCTGCCAAAATGTTTCAGTGCATCCATAGTGTGCATGTGTGGATGAGTAGATTTATGTGTAGGACTGACCTGGACAATGAGGACTTGAGTAGCAGCACACACACAGAGCTCCTCTCAATCTCCATCTTGCGTTCATTAGTGTACAGAGCGGCCTTCTCCTCGGGAAAACACACATTCAGGTAGAAATGACCCAAACCCTCGCAAAACCTCTTCAACCCAGGGGAATGAGTCTAAGAGACACACAGTACGAATACTCAGCATTATGGTATGCAATATCACAATACTTTTTCAACTTGATAAGTTGGAAAAGACAAAATACACCCGCAAAGTGCTAAGGTTTTTCCATTTTATATAAACGAGTTTGATATAGTATGAAGCTCAGGTTTGGTTCCTAACTTGTTCAATTCTATGAACAGCACACCTGATATAATTTAAATAAGAATTGATTAGATAATGGTAACTGTAAATATTCAACTTCCTTAAGGAGAGCTTTCTCCTCCCAATAGTTACATCACCAGTTGTTACTGGAGTCCAAAAAGACAAACAAACAAACAAAAAAACATCTGGGCCACAATTGACGGCAAAAGTTGCTAAAACAGATCTCTTATATAAAAGTGTTAGATCAAGTGTGTAAAACTCAAAGTTTCAAAACATGCTGTTTATTCATCAGTCCATACCCAGAAAGCAAGCTGCAAAAATAGCCCCTGGTGAATACACTTTATGAGATGTCATGAAAAATAACATATACCTGCCTATTCAGCCTACAGCAGTATGGCTCTGCCCTTTAATGCTTAAGTTATAAAGAGTGGTAAAGACGGAGGTAAAAAAAAATAATTATTTCGAGCAAACGTTTTGCAGTTCGTAAGCACGTTTTCTTTACTTCATGGGTACGTTGTTTTTAATTCATGATCACGATTTTCTCATTTATTCTCTCGTTTTCTTTTAACCGTTGTCATGTTTCATTTTTAACTGAACGCACGTTGTTTATTTTTTTTTATTCATGTGCAAAATCAATGTAGTAGATATAGGTCGTGTTAGTTACTACTGTACAGGACAAATAACAGCTCCCGGAAACTGTCTGAAGGGTTTTGATGAGTTAGATTGATAAGATAATGGACAGAGATGCTCATCAGGTAATCATGATGCTCAACATGAGGAAACTGTAGCTCCTCTTCACAGAAAATAGCCCACAGATTTAACAGTGCAGCTGCAGTTTGGTGGTGAAATGAAGGAAGACAAACTACAACCACAATCTTCACTAAACTGCACTTTCTAATGATCATACTTAACAGACATATAGAAGTCACTGCTCCAGTGACAAGCTGCAGTGTTAGAGGTCATCACACAATTACAGGAAGAAATGGTCAGCGTCAATTTGTTTCAACAAACTCAAATTAAACCCACAGAAACACTCATGTGGGATGAGGTCAAATGGCAAGAGAGTTTAATAGATCTATAGATTATATATAGATATGTTAAGGATGTTGAAACGCTGATCATTACTTCTTGTAATTGTGTGATGGTCTCTAACACCACAGCTTGATGCGAGAGCACAAACACTCGAATTAATTAATTATTTATTTATTTATTTATTTTACCTCCGTCCCCTCCGGGGCTCCATAGCCAAGCCCCCCCAGACTAGAGGTTATTTACATATATCAGTCTAAAATGGACAGGGCAAAAACAGCCTGTTTTAATTCTAAGGGATAAAACAGAGGTTGGAAAATGGTCATGTAATGGTCATGTAACAATGAATTAGGACTAGTTTTGGTAAATAAACATACACAAACATCATAAGTTGACCTTAAGAGAAACAATAAAATACAAAAGAAGAACAAAGAACACACAGTCTCACTGTCGCCAAGCATCACTCTTATAAAGCATTAAAAACTACCGCCGTGCAAAATAGTACCAGTGGCAATTTTAGCGAAGGAGCCCAATTGGGGCACTAAATCAGATGGGAGTCATATATGAATAATGAATAAAAACACATAATTTCTCAGTGGTGAGTGCAACCTCCATGAAGCTGGCCCCACCATATGATCAGAAATGGAATAAAAATACCACTATTCATTTGTTTCACTTTCTGTGAATAGTTCATCTTATGCCTCAAAACTCTTAAAAAATTAAAAGTTGGTATCACTTTGTCCACTGAAGATCTTAAAAGGTTAAGAAACGAATATGCATACCTTTTTACCAACATTCCTTTCTTTCCATGATAAAGGTATAACATCATCATGCTCCTATAAATATCTGTGAGTCTTATTAAAACTTATGTGATGTGCAGAAATTGGTACAGCTGTTCAGTGCTTTCTGCAGCCATATCTTCCATGAAGCCATATCTTCTATGCTTTGTAGAGGATAAACATATGATAAACATATCGTGGGCCTCATTCACCAACTTCTTCTCCAAGTTTTTTCCCTGAATTTGTTCTTGAGAAAGGATAAGTCTATGTCAGATTCATGACGTATTCCTAAACTGCTGAATTTTTTGTCTCTTGAGTGCGTGTAGACCCCAATTTAAAAAAACATTGGTAAACTTCAGAATTTTCATGAAAACTGTGTAAGTGCATTTTAAGAAGAAATTTCTTCTTAAGAATGGTTGGTGAATGAGGCCCAGGGTTCAAATATTGATCAGCCTTTTTATTTCATTTAAATGCTTTCAAAATAAGCATGTTTACAGTTATTTTGGCATAACAAGCATAAATGCCCAAATATACAGTGCTGTAATTGACTACACAGTACAATTTTACATTATTTGGCACTTAAATGTTTTTATTTTATTCCTTCTGTTTTGTGTGTGTATTTGTTCATCATAGCTTGTTTTCAGGGTCTTTTCTGATTTATTAAGCCTCAGCCTGTTTTTCTCCCTAGTCATGTGTATTCGGTTAAAAAATTTCAAATAGTTAGTTGTATTTTTTAAAACATAAGCATGTGAACATTTTTACAAGCAATAACTTTAATTTTTGTGGTTGCTAAAGCAAAACTGTTACTTGTGCATTATTCTCAGCATCCTTTAAAAGTGACTTTAAATGGGCAGCTCAACTGGCTGGTAGATTTATAACTAACAATCTTAGTGGCTAATTAAAAAAATAAATAAATAAAATATTGCTTGTTGTGACTCAAATTCTAGGAATTAACCATATTTTATTTCAAGGTTAAAATGCTAAAGTGCCTTAGCTAAAGGAGCCTTTAACAACAAGGTAAGACATTTTAGTTCTTCTATTTTATCTGATTACCCAAGTACATGTAAACACACTGAAGGAATTACTGACAAAATCTGATTTTCTGGAGTTATCAGATTGACCACTAATAGTGTGTGGGATGTAAGTGTTTGCAGAGGGACTGTCCTATTTTTGTTCTAAATAGGCTGGTCATAAGAAAGCAGGCCAGGAGGAGGCATTGTGGGGCCTGAAGACAGCTGGCATAAAAAAATCTACTAGTTTATCAAGGCACTCCACAGCAGCGGTTGTTCAGGTCAACCCCCAAGTACCTGCACACTCTGTGTGTTTGTGATGTACCTGTATAAAGGCATGTAGTTCTGCTCTGGTCTCCTGGGTGTAGATGAGGTAACAGCGGACTGTATTACTCCATAAAACCTGAGACACATGTGGAGAGACCTGCAGCAGGCTGGCCACAGCTGCGTCCCAATCATCTAAAATGCAAAAAATGTAAATGTTATCTTCATGTCAAAGATTATGTTGCATTGCATTTTACATGGTTTTGTTCTTTTAACCACAATGGTGTTTTGTTTTCCTGTTTAGCTTGCACTGTGTTAAAAATAAACAGCATGTGATTGCCAACTTAGTGTGGTATAATAAGATTAAAATTCACAGAAATTGGCTTGGATTACATTGCAATATTAAACAAACTCAAATCAATATCAGTGCTTCATCAGTAGGATTTTGCTTGATACCAATACATCTGTGGGATTCCATATCAGCCACTTTAGACATCTCTTTGGCCCTAGCCATATACAGCTGCAAGAAACCATAAACACCTCAAATTACACAATAAGTTTTACATATGCAAGTTTAGCTACACAGAGCGTTCTTACCTCTACTGACATTGGCGAAGGGCCCCTCTACATCTATGAGACTATGGGCAAACTCTGGTCCCCTGTGAGCCTGCTGCAGCTGCATCATACTTCCCAAAGAGGGCTCACTACCCAACACACCTCCACTCCAATACTCACACTGAGTCCCTGCAGCTAAACACAAAGAAATGTAGAAGAATAGGGGCTTTAAAGGTAGGTCTGCTCTTCTTCCTCAGGCAGAGGCCTGTTGCAGAGGGGCTATGACCGCATAGGCTCTAGCGCATAGGCTTTTGACAGTGCAGTGACTGAAGCATGCAATGCAGTTGTTTGTGCAATTGTGTGCTGGGATTGGAGTTCTGAGGCGCTGTTGGTGCCAGTTATGAGCATGCAGGCTACCTTGCCTGCTACATAAGTGACGCACTTGTCAGCCACGTTTCTCCTCTATCTGAATGACAGTTTTTGGTTCACCTGCCAATCATGTTTCACTCATTTCAGTCTTATGAGTATACATGTCAGTTTCTTCGTTTACTGTTCTGGAAGCTTGATCATTCCTATTTGAAGTTGTTAAAAGTTTTTTGTGTTGTATTTTGTGAAGTATTTGTATTGCACCCTGACCTTGTCATTAGTTTTGTGCTTGTGTGTGTGTTGCACTCCTCATTTGCCCTCAGGAATGTTAATTTAATTTAGTATTGCTGAATCGTGCTCATTTGTTAAATTTTAGATATGCAAGTGAAAGATTTAGATTTATGTTCTCAGTATGCCTACAGAAATTTAGAATTGAAAACTTTTTTGATTAGCATAATTGAGTTTGATTGGCATAATTAAGATTTTGGTGTTAATGACCTCCCAGAAAAAACAGCTTCTCTTTGTGTCTGCCTAGGTCCATTTTATGCGTTCCTTCTGTTGTTTTATGTCCAGGACCAGGAGGAGTGAGGTGGAGACAAAGACGGTTACAGTTGTTTTTCGAAGTTACTGGCAGGAGTGTTTGCTGTTTTCTCCGCTCTATATCTTGCTAGTCCCTTGCAGCTTTTTACACTACAATCAATTAGCTGTTGCATATTACTTGCAATTAATTACAACCACCGACTTTTGGAAGTCACTTTTTTTCTCAAGACACCTGGAAGACACCACTCCTCTTCCATTCATGTGTCCAACAGGTTTGCCCCACTCAGTGAGACATCCTCTGAGATGCCTGTTGAAAAAGCTCTGGTTATAGGTGATTCTATTTTACAGCATGTGAAAATAGCTTCTCCTTTAGGGGTGCCAGGAGCAGTTAGCTGTATATCAGGAGCCAGGGCAATGGACATTAGAGGGAACCTGAAGCTGCTAGCTAGCCGTAGATATTCGAGGATAGTCATTCATGTAGGTACTAATGACATTCGTCTGCAGCAGTCAGAAATAACTAAAGGTGACATTAAAGTCAGTGTGTAAATTAGCTAAGACGATATCTGATGCCGTAATATGCTCTTGGCCGATCCCAGTTTGACGTGCCGCTCAGTGGTGCTCAGAAAAACAATGTGGGCTTTGTAGATAATTGGTCTACTTTTGAGGGCAAGTCTGGTCTTTTGAGTCAGAATGGTATCCACCCCTGACGGGAGGGTGCTGCTCTCATTTCATGTAGCATAGCTCGTAGTCTCTCAGATATCCGTCAGTATAGGACAGTCAGTCGCTGACAAACCAGGGCCAAGGCCAGGCAGCAGACAAACAGGCTAAACCAACCGTCTGCTAGCTGCCTTGAGACGCCACATAAGCTCCACCCAATTGAGACTGTGTCTGTTCCCTGAATAAAACAAAACATTAAAAAACCTTGAAAGGTTTGTTCCACTAATTTGATCAATATCAGAGCAGTTAAACCGGTTTGCAGTGACAGCACCTTTGGTCTAAAGCTAGGACTGCTTAACATAAGATCTCTTACATCTAAGGCGGTCGTTGTAAATGAAATTATTACTGATCGTGATTTTGATGCTCTGTGCCTCACAGAAACATGTATTAGACCTGATAAATACTTTGCTCAAAATGAAGCCACCCCCAGGCTACGGTTAGGCACAGAGCCCTGGTTTAAAGTGGCTGGGTGAAGGTATAGCAAACATTCATTAAAAAAAAACAAAAAAAAACAAAAAAACCTTTACGTGTGAACCAGAAAGTAAGCTACAAATTTTCTTCCTTTTAAATTCTTTTTCTTAATATAAATGGTTGTGGAAAAATCCACTTTAAAAAAAAACAAGATCTACTAAGTAAGGCATTTATATCTGAGAATGGTTTCACTCAAAATATGAAAGGGGCGCACTCTTTATTGCAGCCATACTCTTGACTTAATTTTGATCTTAAGTGTAAACAAACATCATTTAGCCATTCCTCCCCAGAGCACAGCAGTCTCAGATCATTACCTAATCTCATATGAAGTTCGCTTTGGTTGTAAGTTTATCGCCATGCCATCATTTTAAACGGACTATAACATCCTTCACAGCTAGTAGCTTTATCGGAAACCTCCCCAAACTATCAACATCTATCAGCTCTCCATCTAATCCTACCAAATTAGATATTATGACCAAGTACTGAGAGAATTCGTTCTACTCTAGATAATGTGGCTCCATTAGAAAGTAAAATAATAAGGCAGAAAAAGCTTGCCCCAGGGTACAATGATCATACTCAAGTTTTAAAACGGCACCTGACTAAACTAGAAGTATTCCAATCCACCTGGAGGGATAGCCTAATAGACTATAGAAGGGCACTTACTGGGGCATGCTCAACCTCTCTCTCCTCTCTGATTGAAAATAATAAGAATAATCTTAGATTATTATTTAGCACAATTAAAACAGCTACTGACCCCCAGATACCATCAGACTACAGCAGCAATGATTTTATGCATTTCTTCAGTAATAAAATTGAAACAATCAGGCAAAAAAAATTCAAAATGCACAGCTAACCTCTACAAACCTGCTTCCTTTACAAAGCCAATCCAGATCTTGAGTATACTGTAACTATTGCAGAGAGGCTGGAATCGTTTACTTTACTTCAACAAACTGAGCTAGTTAAAATGACTTACTCCTCAAAATCTTTTACTTGCATATTAGATCCAATCCCTACAAGTTTACTGAAAGAAATTTTGCCAGAAATATCGAAGCCTATTTTGTCAATAATAAACTTCTCTCTTAGTCTTGGCTATATTTCAAAAACTCTTAAACTAGCAGTAATTAGACCTATGATTAAAAAAAACTAATCTCGATCCCTGAAAGCTATCAAATTATGGACCTCATCTCAAATCTTTGCTTCATATCAAAGCTCTTGGAAAAAGCTTTGGCACAACAACTTTTTTGCACAGAAATCACATACATGAAAAATTTCAGTCTGGTTTAAGGCCTCCTCAAAGTACAGAGACAGCACTAGTTAAAATTGTAAAATTGTGATCTGTTATTATTCTCTGACCAAGGAAATGTATCTTCGCTAGCTCTTTCTCCTTAGGAATAGCTCTTTCCTGATTCAGATCATTTCTGACTGATCACTGTCAGTTTGTAAATCTAAACAGTGAATCATCCGATCTTCCAAAAATAAAAAATGGTGTTCCACAAGGCTCTGTTTCAGGACCTCCATTATTCACATTAAATATGCTACTATTGGGTACCATGATCAGTAAACATGGCGTCAATTTCCACTGCTATGCTGGTGACACACAATTATATATATCAACCAAACCAGATGATAAACTTCAACGTAATAAGATTGAGGAGTGTGTTCTTTTTCTTGGTCCAAAAGCTGCTAGAAACAAACTGTCTCATTGCTTAAACTTAATAGTTTGGTGTCACAATACATCCCAATCTGTCCTTCGATGCACACATGACAAATATTACTAGAATAGCTTTCCTGCATCTCTGCAATATTGCCAAATAAAGAAATGCTCTGTCTCTACAGGATGCTTACCTCAAGGTTTGATTACTGTAATGCCCTGCTGTCTGGATGTTCCAGCAAAAGCCTTAACAAGTTTCAGTTCAGAAGTCCAGAACGCTGCAAGAACCACAGAGTCTGACCATATCAGCCCAGTTTTATCAAACCTACACTGGTTGCCAGTTAAATTCCACATTGATTACAAAATTCTTTTACTGACATATAAAACTCTAAATGGCCTTGCCCCTCAGAACCTGAGTGAACTTATCTCTTATTATGAAACCATCATGCCTACTAAGATTACAAGGTGTTGGCTTACTATTAGTACCAAGAATTAATAAAGTTACATCAAGGGCCTTCTCATACAAAGCCCCCCAGCTTTGGAATAATCTTGCAGTCAGTGTTCGGGACTCAGATACAGTCTTTAAGTCTAGGCTAAAACCTACTTGTTTAGTCCAGCTTTTGGTAATTAGACTTTCTTGTTAGATAAAAGACGCAGATCTGGGGGATCATGGACATAGAGTATTGTGGTAAGCTGTTGTCCCGCTGCTCTCACACGTTCATTCAAGTATGAAGTAGAGCGGAGGGGCGCTGACGCCTCAGGAAGCCCTCAAAAAATTGTGCTGCTGCAGTCAGTGGAATTTTCGATGACAGCATTTTCTGTCACAGCTCCACTGAAAATAATGGAACATTCCAGTTTGCTGCCGTCCGTATACGGCAAACATGTAAATGCAGCAAGAGAGTCATGTATGGAAATACCTAGCATTTGAGGCAGACCACCATTGTGTGCCATTGAACTTTTCAGACAAAGAGTAAACAATTCCAACTTAGCAAAGTACTTCAAAGACAGATATTGAGATTTATTCAAAGAATTCAAGGTGAGTTTCAATTCGTATTAGTATTATATTAAGAACATATCCAATTTTGTTATCCTTGTTATCATTATCCTGGAATACACGTTACAATTATTTTTGTTTGAAACAGCTGGCATTGCTTTGTAGCCAACAATGTTCCATACAACGTTTGCAAAAGCTAAGAGCTAAACAGTAAAGTACTGTAGGCTAAGGTAATGAAACCATAGCTCATAGTAGTAGGCTACCATTATTACCGTTCAGTCTGTGTCATCTATCATCAAAATATGTTGTTAGCGTTTGAAATAAATATTTCTGGACTAATGGTCTGTCACCATATCAGTAAATTTAAACTACTACTTGAACTCATACAGAGGTGTGTGTTGCATTGTATGTGCAGCTGTTTTCATTGAACTATACCTGATAACTGAAATCTCAAAATTGTCCTTTCACAGTATCAGCCGGAGGAGGATGTTGAAGAGGAGAGTCAGGAGTAAATAATGTAATGTTCATTGTAACAATTGTAATGTTCAAATTTCTTTAATAAAGGAGTGTAAATGGCATTTAAAGTTTGAGGATATTTACCAATACCAATTACTCTAAATCAGGTTAACAGTGTAGTTATTGCAACCTTTTTTACACAAAGAGGCTTAAAAGTAATTGGACAATATGCTGTGTAGGCCTATGTTATCTGCTCAGATTCAGCCAAATGCTTCAAAACTCATTGGATAGCACTTCACAGTACAGATGGACAATGACCCGAAGCATGCTGCGAAAGTAGCTAAAGACTTAAGACAAAAAAGCAAAATGTTCTGCAATGGTCAAGGGAGGACACCCAGCATGTGGTGATGTTTCTAGGTTTCAGACCTCAGGCAGCAACGAATTTGCAACCAAGTATTAAAAAGGGCAAATGAATTTATGATTATGTTACAGTAGTTTAATTATTTTAAGCTCCAAAAAAGAATGTATGTATGAAAATGGTTGTAATTCCTACATTGTTCGCCCAGTTTGAATGTAAATAAACTCAAATTAAAGCTAAAGCATCAATTAGTTCTGTGACTCAGGGTACTTACATTTTTTTGAAAGATGGAAACATTTCTTCATGAATTTAGTAAAAGCTTTTTTGTAATAATGTATTTGTTGTGGTCTGCGAGGCCATGTGTTGTGGCTCTGTTCTTACTTGTGATGCTTGTGCGGTTGTCATCGGAGTCTGAGTCAGCTGGGTCGTAGAGCTGGATCCCCTGAGCCTGTAGCTGCTGCAGTTTGGACTCCAGATCGCGCTTTGCCCGCAGCAAATCTTGAATCTCCTTCTCCTTGGTCTCTCGGAAGATCTGTTTATCCAGTGAAAGATGATGAAGTGGTTGAGTAAAGAAGTCTAAACTAAAATATGTTTGTGGGCAATGTGCATAGCTGCCTTCTAGCCTTCATAATCAGTAGACCCTGCTCTGTCTAGTCAGAGTGAGATCAAGGTGTGACAAAGCATCAGCAAGTAATCCGACCCAAAATCCACTTGTGATCATGACATTACATCTCTGGCTTCAAAACTCAAAAAACTGTCAAATGTACAGACATGATACACAGTTTCAGTAAGTAATTCAGCTCAATAATATTAATCAATAATTCACTCAATTTCCTGACATCTCTGTTTTGACTCTCCAAAAACGTCACATATGTCTGTGTGTGTTTTGGTCCAGCATGCTTTTCTGATGTATCTGTAGAATGCGTGGTGAGTGATCAGCGCACTACAATCCTCAGAGCATTCAGAAAATCCAAGAGATCCTATGTTTACAGCTAATTTAGACTGACTAGAGCTGAAAATGCAGAGGAGTGATTCATGCAATGACTTATCTGAGGGGAATGTAGGGCACATGATGTAAGCATGTGACGGTTGTTATGGATACCAAGGTGGGGAGGGGCTAATCAGGTTTTGATATCCTTGGGTATCAAAATATCAGGAAGGAATAAATCACAATCAAAATGATTGCATTTTTAGTTTATGTCACACATCCCTCCGGCCTCGGTTCACACAAGGACTCCATTTCCCAGAATTTCTTGGGAGATCATGTGACAGAACTTACTCGTTCAACCAATCGGCGCTTTAAGTCTCCTGAGTACTGTTTCTCTATAGCTGTGTTCTTTGTCATATGACCTGTTTAGTTCAGCTTATAAGCCCAGGCTTTAGCTTAGCCATATTGTGAGGTAATGTTTCTCCTGCAGGATTACTAAGCGTTTCCATTGTGTTTTTCGCTTGCCCTTTTGGTTTATTGGACGCCCTACTGGTTATGATTGCTCTGTTTTGCCTTCTTGCTATTTTGGATTTGACCCACGCCTATACCACGACTACGATTCTTGCCAATTCCTTTTGTATTAAAGCCTCTTCTCTTGGACTTTTTTTGCAAGCGTCTGACTGGGTCTGTCACGTTACAGTTTACAAATATTCTAGTTTAACAGTAACAGTTTAACAGAAAAGGTACTTCAGCTTACAACTATTTTCGAAGTCTGTATAAGCAAAATAAAAAAACAAATAGAAGGTGCTAAGTAAATTTTAGTTTTTTTGAAATGGCAAAATTGTAGGGGTGTAACGATTCTCCAAATTCACGGTCCGGTTCATACCTCATTTTGTTTTATTTTATTTTTTGGGTGATGGTAAATAAGAAAAAAAGGGAAAAAACTCTGTTTTACTAAATCATTAACAATTTTGTCTTCTGGAACTACGACACGAGACTGTGGATGTTTGTACCATGGTTTTGGTCTCCAAATCGTTACACCCCTACAAAATTCATAAAGATATCAAAATTTTAAAAAACAACATATGAGTAGCCTAGGGTCTCTGGAAAATAACAACATGGCATGTGTGACTATCTCATGTAAATACATTGTAACTGTAAGTGTAAGTGACCGTAATACCAAAACAATTGTGAAAAATTACTTTAGACTTGAAAAAGCTTTCAGGCACCAATACAATACCTAAATCCTAAGTTGAAACTGTTTTGGTCTCCTTTAAGAACTACTTTGTTCTGTTTAGTTTTTCTTTTTATTTTTAACACTTCCATCTAAAAGTACCATGCTCAAAGTTATCAAACACACACTATTAAACCACAAAAAAAATAATCACAAACAACATAAATTATGCAAAAACCACAGTCTTTTCCAGTTAAACAAAAAAATTGATTTGTTACAAAATCAATATATCAAAATTTTTTGCCCTAAATCCGATTGGCTAGTATTGGTCAAATGCTATCTTGAATCACTGCGATCTCCTCTTACACAAAGAAAGTGCAATCTTTTAAAGGTCGTGGGAGCACACTTCACAGAGAAGGTAAAAGGATAAATTTAACTTTCCATGTCATGAAACTTGTATCCTTCCTGTTTCTGGGAAAAAGGCAAGTTGAGCTAACTAGCACTGACAAAGCTTCATACCTTAAATTGACGTTTTACTTTGTCTCTGTCATGTTCAAATGTGGCTGCTCTCTCCATGGCCTGGTACTTTGCCTCCAAAGCACTCTCCTTCTCCCTGAGAATCTTCTGGTAGGTCTTCTGCAAAGCCTGGAGACCAGCGAAGCAGACAGTTGTCAAGGCAATTTAGATCCCAACTACACTCGACAGATAAAATGTCAAACATCAAACACAAGCCTGTTGTTCTGTCTTAAGTAGCTTATATGAATGACTTAAGGAAACTCACCATAATCTTCATATATATATATGCATATGCATACACATAATATATATATATATATATATATATATATATATATATATATATATATATATATATATAGACACACACACACACACACACATATCGCTGTTGTTGGAAGAAAACCTTGTATCTCCATTTTTGTCGTTTTTCAGTTTTTGACATAATTTGAAGTATTTTTTTAAAAATGTATGTATACTGTGACCCTTTACATTGTTTGTACATTTTATGGTGAATGGACCAAAAGAAACGGCACAAAATGACTTGGAAAAAAGTCTGGTTATATTGACTTATATTAAAAGTAAAGTACGTTTTTTCCTTCTCCTGTAAAGTTACTATTTTGGAGATATGAGGTTTTCTTCTGACAACAACAATATATATATATTTCTATTACAATACCATTTCTATTAACCTGTTTTTTAATGCTCTTCATGAACAGTTAGACCACGAGGTCTGCTAGCAGATATATTAGAAAATGTGTTTTACAGCACAGGCTTTGAAAGATTTGTGGCTTTATAAACAGTTAATGCGCACCTAAACTGCATAGGGGAGAATGTATGTATACATATTTTGATATTATATCCATAATTCTATCACATCAAGGTACATCGTTTTATATACATTGCATCATAAACATTTTTTTAAATTACATATAAATTACATAATTTGATTATTTGGCTGTGACCAAGGTGAATGCAATCCTAAAAATGAGAATGATAGTAACAGGTTGAGAAGCTTGTTGAGTTGGTCTTTGTAGCAAATATAGTTTGGCATCCCTAGCAAAATTACATATTTGTTGTTTTTTGAAAGGAAAAGAAATAAATACAAAACAGCAAACTATTTAATTAACACTTTTCTGCAAACAAGATTATGCTACAGGCCTGATCTGGCTCCTGGGCCTTGTGTTTGATAAATGGGATCTAGAGGCTGACAGTCGCTAATGAGTCCTGTGTGATCTACATCACATGGATAAGAGTAATGTAGAAATCTCCTTTTTAAAAAAAGTCTTATACCCTTATAATAGTCCATAACTAGTTGCTTAACTAAGTTGCTGCTTTATTTATTATGCTTCTAAGATCACAATAAGCCATTTTGTTCAGGCACTATCAAAGGCAAGTATAGGTACTTCCATTTATTGTAGTGTGTAGACAGTCCTACAGCATGATTTAAATGCCTCTTCTATTTTGTTATTAACACTTGTCTGATCTAGGGGTCTTTTGTCTTGCAAACTGTAGTTTAGAACTGTAGGTTCCTTATGCAGCTACATGCAAGTACACATTGAAACGAAACAACATTCCTCCAGGACCATGGTGCAACACAGGGACACAAGTGTGAGACAATACAATAAACACAGTGCAGACAATACAGTACAATAAATAATACAAAAAACTTAACAATAAATACAAAACAGAACACAGGCAGTACACGGTACTGAAAGTATGAGCAACCAAAGCAGCAATATACAGTATACAGTATTTGGTTGATACAGTAATTCCAGCAGCTAACATTGTTAAAATGAAGTTAAGTGTGCAAAAATGCAAAGTCAGATATTGTTATGGAAATAAAATGTGCAAAAATGCAAGTATTCAGATCTACAGTCATATCAAGTGAAGTGTTTCTTTACCATGCACATGCTGCCACTTGGTCATATAATGGTCTAAATTTTCATTGCTGCGTGGACGACACTAACATCTATGTCAGTGTCATCCCTGCTCAGACAATTCTACCACCTGATTTGTCTAACTATATCCATGCAGCAAAGTCATGGATGAGTAAGAATTTTCAAATACTGACAGCCAGCAAAACTCAGACGCTTTTAACTGGTGTTACACCGAATTCTGTGACCATTGAGTTCTGTGACCGTCGAGGGCGCTATTTTGCAGTTTCTGTTCACATGCAGAAGCGTTTTACGTAGACTGCGTAAGCTACGCCAACGCGCTTTCGTTTCTCGTTCTGCTGCTTTTAGCAAATCGAACTATGAGAAATGCATGTAATTACATTTCATATTGTCTGTTAATCACATATATATTCTTGTACACAAATATTTAATTACAAATTTTCTACATCTGTAAACTTTATATGAGGAAAGATAATATAACAATATCTACGCCAGACAATAACAAGCTTTTTTACTTGAAAAGGTGAAATGCCAGGCACAATAAAAAATTTACATAATACATAAAAAACACACACACACACACACACACACACACACACACACACACACACAGTAAAAGCATCGAGGAGCAGTCAGAATGATAAGCTTCATTTTGTCCATGAAGCAAGATACTTCCATAAATAGAGGTAAAGCTGTGAGAACAATTCTCTCACCCCTCGCGCCTGTTCATGCTAAATAGATAAAGTGTACCATTTGAGGCTATTCTTAATCAGGCTTAATTCAGATGGGGGTCAAAAGAGCTTTTGGCTGAAGTGTTGAAAGATGGTTCGTCTCCTAAAAGGTTTTGGTTATTTTATTATTATTTTTTTTTTTTTTATAAAGTTACAGCTGAGTAATACATTCTCATGGTAGATGATGGAATTGTGATAAATTTGCCAATGCCAGGTCCTGTCTTTAAACCCTAGTTATGAAGGTTTTTAATGAAAATAATGGAATGGCACAACAGTCATCAGTTATCAGAGCTATAATCAGAATGTGTGACCTCACTGCATCTCCACAAAACAGTGAAAGATATTTCTTTTAAGAGACTTACCATCCCTTCTCATTTTTAGCCAAAAAAACCCTTCATCACTGGAGTGGACAGATCGGCCTTGGCATAGGGGTCACCAAATCTGACAGCCACTGTCAGAATTAGTGACTGCACTGAATCTCCATAAACATTAGTTAAAGTCCAACCAAATCTTTTCAGGTGACCTAGCATCAATTCATCTTTTCAGCCAAGAAAAGCATTCATGACTTGAGTGAACAGATCGGCCTTGGCATGGGGTCACCAAATCTGACAGCTGCTGTAAGAATAAGTGACTGGACTGAATCTCCACAAAAATAAGTTGAAGTCCAACCAAATCTTTTCAGGTGACTCAACATCCCTTTACATTTTCAGCTAAAAAAAAAAAGCCTTTATGACTGGAGTGGACAGATTGGCCTTGGGATATGGCATGGGGTCACCAAATCTGGCAGCTGCTCTCAGAATGTGTGACTGGACTGCATCTCCATAAAAATTAGTTAAGGTCCAACCAAATCCTCTCAGGTGACCTAGCATCCCTTTACCTTTTCAGCTAAAAAAAAGCCTTTATGACCGGAGTGGACAGATTGGTCTTGGCATAGGGGTCACCAAATCTGACAGCCACTGTCAGAATATATGACTGGACTGCATCTCCATAAAAGCTAGTTAGTCCAACCTAATTTTTTCAAGTGACTGAATATAATAATAATAATAATAATAATAATAATAACAAAACTATAATAATAATAATAATAATGATGATGATGATTATTATTATTATTATTATCACTCTTATTATCACTTATTATTATTAATGTTATTTATGTATTTTTTATATCTGATTGAAATATCATTTCACATATTTTTCCATTGCATTGTTATTTTGAACCTGATTCATTTCAGACTTCAAAGTGATGCACAACAGTTTTAGAATAATAAGTGCTCTTTATAAGCCTAAATGGTCCTTTAGTTCAAAGTAGAACCCTTAAGGCCCAGTCTAGAACTCTAAAGATTCAAAACAGAACTCTTTAGGATGATTTTTTTAGATGCAAAGAGGGGAGAAACTCCATATTAATGCCTATGGATTTAGAATGGGCTAGCATAAAAGCTCCTGTAGATGTAGATGTCTTAATACTTTTGTCCATATAATGTACGTTGCTTCATAATTTTGTTTCTTAGGTGACGACAAATTCTTATTAATGATGACACATCAAAATCTGCAATTAAGGCCGCATTTTAATCAGATGATCTCAAAGAGCTATGCCTCTACTGTGGAGAAGAAAATGTGGACAATGAAAAAAGCAAACATGCAAAAAAGAGGAAAGGACAAGACTGTACTACTGTTTGGGTAAGAAGTTCAATTAAGAAAATGCTTTGTTCAGGTCCTGATCTGTGTAGAGCACATAGAACACATACTATATTTTACATGAACATTCACTCTGAACATCTATAATTTTGTAAATATACATGTGATCTTTATTACAGATCCAGTGTGACAATTGTACACGGTGGTAATGCATAACTTGTGTGGGAAAGCCTGACACAAAGAAGCCCTACAGCTGCCTTACGTGCAAATAAGCTTTGATGTATAAGGCATGAGGACAACATTATTTAAAGTAGTGCTGTTTTTCACGATTAATTCTGTTAATTCGCATTAACATTTTCACACGATGTTAGAAATGTGACAATCAAGATTGTACAAGTTTACATTGCTTGTAGTTTAATTAAAATACCAACAAAAACTATTAAAATTTTCAAGATGTACGAAAAATGCATCTTAAATAACGCCGCCTCTCACAGGTCTGTGCGCTGACCTCAGCCGCGTGCGGTAGGAAAAAAAAACAAACACATCTTGGAGTGCAGGTGGATCTTTTTTTTTATGTACAAACAGTAATGGCAATGTAGTGTACACTTATTTACTTAACACAAACCGAAGCAGTCAGTAAGTTCAAATAACCATATAAAAAAAGGGGGGGTGTTAGGGGAGACACAATTACTTCCTAGTGTCTTTCAAACCATTTTCATAAATTAATTTTAGTAACTTTTTGGCATTTTTCTTTTTCATGCACTCTAAGGGACCAAAATAGTACATGTGTGCCTTATGAAAAACATAAAAATATGGTGTTGTTTTCACATACCTTAATTTGTGGAAAATTTTCCTAACAATA